CCCGAGCAGGGACTTGAACCCTGGACCCTTGGATTAAAAGTCCAATGCTCTACCGACTGAGCTACCCGGGCTCGTTATGAAACTTGCGTTACGTGATTTTAAAAACTTTGAAAAAATATTGTTGTATTATGTAACGGGAATGTGTATAAAAAGAATTGATCCTGCAGGTCCCACCGAGATTTGAACTCGGATCGCTGGATTCAGAGTCCAGAGTGCTAACCATTACACCATGGGACCTATATAATTGTCCTTCGGACATCTGTTTTCCTTTCATTACGCAATTCAGAAAAATCGATATTGCACATATCTCTTTGTTATATTGTTTTAAACGATTGAATAATACAATTTACGGAGTTTATTGGTTCTTTTCGTATAAGGTGCAGCAGATAATTCTAAATTCATTTCTGACATTGACGTCTGTCATCATCTGTCAATGTGACAGTTCAAATAATGGTGCGAGGTGTGATTGTGTGAAAACATCAATAATCGTTGTTTTGTTGCGTTAAAGAAATGGCAACTTCGATGGTAAATGAAGTAAAGGGCGATGATAGTGTGCCGAAAGAATTGTTGCTGGAGAAGCACGTGTCGTTTCTGCGAGAGTACGGACAAAACGAAGATAATTTCGAGTATGGAATAACCGACTACCTGCGGATGTCCGGCGTCTATTGGGGTCTGACTGCGCTGGATTTGATGGGAAAGTTGAAGGAGCTGCCGGAGAATGAGATTGTTGAGTTTGTGCAGAAGTGTCAGGACCCTGAGAGTGGTGGTATTAGTGGCTGCATCAACCATGATCCTCATCTGCTGCACACAGTCAGTGCAATACAGGTGCTCTGTATTTATGATCGGTTGGATGCAATCAATGTTGAGGGTGTGATCAAGTATGTGAAGAGTTTGCAGAAGGATGATGGAAGCTTCACCGGTGATAAATGGGGTGAAGTGGACACCAGGTTCTCATTCTGTGCAGTGCTGACCCTTTCGCTGCTGAAGAGGATGGACGCCATCGACGTGGACAAGGCGGTGGAGTTCGTCGAATCTTGCATGAATTTCGACGGCGGCTTCGGATCGCGTCCTCTGAGCGAAAGTCACGCCGGTCTTATTTACTGTTGCGTCGGTTTCCTGTCGATAACGCAGCGGCTGGATATCATCAAACGAGACACTCTGGCGTGGTGGCTGTGCGAGAGACAATTACCTTCTGGCGGTTTGAATGGAAGACCCGAGAAGTTACCAGATGTCTGCTATTCCTGGTGGGTCCTTTCCAGCTTATCGATGTTGGGTCGTCTGCACTGGATCGACTTTGCGGCGCTGGAAAAGTTCATCGTTTCATGTCAGGACTCGGAGACTGGAGGTTTCAGCGATAGACCAGGCGACATCACCGATCCTTACCACACGCTCTTCGGTTTGGCCGCTCTGTCGCTGATGGGAAACGGTGCTCTTAAACGCGTCAATCCGACTTACTGCATGCCGCAGGAGGTGATCGACAAGTTGGAATTGAAACCGCAAATATTGAATTAATAAAAAATTTATATAAGTAAACAAGCAATCATTATTTTTGCAAAAACAAAAAAAATCTACGGTTTTTCTGTTTTCGGTTTGGTGAGGTCCAGGATGAATTGGTTATCATCCTTGCGACCTCTCAGTCCGAAGAAGTAGGTCTGCGGCGTCGACACGTTCGTGTAATTATCGCGCTTCGTTTGCGTCTCGGACTCCTTCAGTTCGTACGTCTGAGTGGACACGCCATTTTTGTTCATCGAGTTCAGGGTTTGAGTGGAGTGCGTTTGCATCTTGGAGATGTTCGCCATAGATAGAGCCTGCCTCTTCCAATCCCACACGTTCCACTTGTACTGCGTATCGATGTGACGCTCGACCGGATGCAGTACTGTCTGTATCTTTATACTCTCCATCACCACTTTCTCGACTACTTGCGTCTGCTCCACCACCAATTCCTTCACCATCTGCACCTCCACAAGATCATCGTGCAGTCCGAGCAACGGAATTAGCTCCGACTTTTTCCTTGCCAATTCAAGCGCCTCGTTTATAATCCTAAAGAACATTTTTTTTTAAAATTTAGTCTTATTATTTTTAGTAATTAATTGCAAATTGGTTACTGTTCGGGATTCGCCTCGAACGACCGGAAGCCTTCGATGCAGCAGAAGCAATAGTTCTTCTCGCGGTACATGAAGACGCCCATGGTCGGGTTACCGGGAATCAGACCTCCTTGAGTCTCGATCAGCTTCCACGGACAGAATCCCAAGAACTTTTGTCGCAACAGCAACAAGATTAATTAATTACATTCAGTTTATGAACTTTTTGATATTTGATTAGAGTACCTCCAGCTTCGCATCTTTGCCGTCCTCCGAGGTGAGCAGAGTGATTTCGGTGTTGGTCAGAGAGGGCGGATCTCCGACCCAACGCAATCGCTCCAGATCGGTGAGGACCGGACTGTCTTCTAGCATCAGACGGACGATATCTACGTTAATTTCAAAGTCCTTCGTATACAGCTCCAGATTGAAGAGGATCTGATTTAGTTTCGTCATGTAAATGATCAACGATTGATATTGATTCCATATCGCATCCAATTCGATGAATATCGGCTGCAACAAACCAAATTGATGATGTGCGTGCACAGTTTAGTATACCGAGATCACTCACGAAAACGATTTCGGTTGGAACACCGATTTTGAGGAAGGCCTGCTCGTTGAATTTGTCAAGTGCCTCGGTCAAAGTGTCGTCCAGTTCGTTGGCGCTGGCTGCAACTTCCTCGACGGCATCGAGAACTTTTCTGCAAATCACAGTGTTAATGCGTTTCTGCAAATCTAAATAATTATTATGCGAACCTGTAGAGGACTTCCAACTGTCGAAAAACGATAATCAAATCTTTGTTATATTCGATTTCTGCGTAGTCGACGCCGAATGGCACGTAACAAGATGTCGAGTAACGTATCGGTTCATCATCGGATTTGGCCTCGAGTTCGTGAATGCGAAAGATGCTGTCGATGGCCGTCGTTAAAAAGTTGATTTTATCCATCGTCCCGGCCAACGCCGCTTGAATGGCTCTGATGGCTGAACGCACCGATTGGTTGACGAGATGTGGAAGATTCTCCAAGCCCTCGCCCCCTTTGTCCGTCGACCAATTGAAGATGCGGATGCCGGTGCAGATGCGGCACAGCATCTCGAGCTCCTCCTCTTTCGTCTCCTTGCTCTCCTTGTCCATGAATCGGGTCAGATCGTTGTTATCGTACACGCTGTACAACGCCTGCTTCGCCTCACGGTACACCTACCAAAATAAATTAATATTTGATTAATTATCATTTGATAAATATATTTACATTCAATTTTGTCGGATTCCCGGTGCCCCTCCACAGCGTGACATAGTAGATGATTTTCTTCCTCAGATCGTCCACGTCCTCCGCCACTTTCAGCTCGAGTATCTCCTCCTTGAGCGGCTTCAATCGCGTCTCGAAGTTTTTCTTCTCGTTGCCGACGATCACCATCTTCTCCTCGAAATTACACTCGAAGTACATCTGTATTTTTAACGTGATGATGCAAGGACAATACTGATGTTTCATTTTAGCTACGACAAAGTCAATGAGCCGAAGCGCGTCCAGACGATTGATTTCCTTCATCGTCGGATACAGATTCCATATCGGATCCAGAGCTAACAGCTTCAGCTGGAAAAACACGCGCACACATTTTAAATTTATATAAAAAAAAACTAAAATTTGTTAAAATTTACGTAATACAAGATGAAGTTGTTGTTGCATTCCACGTCTTCGGTTTTGCATTCGGTGAGGATCTCTTTGCAGAGGTTGTGTATGAAAAATTCCATGTCGTACGGTGAAGTTTCTGTTAAATCGATTCCGACGACGTGTACGTCGCGCTCTGACGCGAATCGACTAGTTTTGTTTTTATTGATAATACAATATGAATACAATAAATAATAAAAACTAACAACATATTAACAAATCAAATTATTTTAATTTAAAGATAAATGATCAATTTTACTATGAGCAAATCTCGGTGCATGAATCTGCGCATTTTATCGCTGGATATGCGATAGAAATTCGCATTGAGATCGCCCAACATCTGCGAGCTGATGTCCAATTTAGAATCCAATTGGTTGACGATGACGAAACGGTGAGGTCTCCTCGCCTCTCCTCGCAATTCCAATCCGCAGTACCTCGGCCCCAAATGGTGCGCCATCAGTTTTATCGAGAACAAATTACCTACAAAACAGTTAAATCATTCCACTAAATAAAACTAATCATCAATGAAACTAACCGGAAACTTGAAAGTTGTTGCTGAGCAGAGTTTCACCATTTTCAAGCACTTTCTCCGCATTATCAATCTTCCAGAGATAGGTAAACTCTTTGTGATTGCTGTAATCCAATTGCCGTTTCGAAGGTTTACTAGGTGTCATCACATGGTGGTTATCTTCGTCTATTCGCAAAAAGTTCTTAATTAACTGCAAATCGCGTCCCAATCTATCCAATTTCTTGCTCAACTCCTCTATAAAAAGATATTAATTAACCCAAATTGATTGTTTTTTTTTAACACTCACTGGACGTGCAGATTCCCTTCAATTGTCTCGTTATGGTCGCGTTCGCGGTGGCCTGCACCTCCTCCGTGGCTATCCTGCAAACGGCATGCTGGATCTCTTCGATTTTATCCTCGTAGTCCGCAAACGAAGACGCGTCTGCAGCGCAAATCAAAAACAGCAGTATTAAAATCGGCATCTCTTCTCACAACCGTTGCCTTCTTGGGACTATCGGATTGCCTCCTTTTTATACGAGAGTCGTCATCCCATTTTGGGACGTCATCTGCTTTCTGAAGAGGATAATTTTTGTTAAATCTGGGCCAATTGATTTTTTTTTAAAGGCCACTTAATTATGCTTTATAGTTTTTAAGGCGCGCACCAATTCCATTGTTGCGTTATTAATTGAACTAAGCCCAATCCAATTCAGATCGTGACATCGGAATTGTTTGCATTCTTTTCAAATAGTTTTGCAAAGTGTGACTTGAATGTTTCATAACAACGCTGAAAATCTATAATGAGAATTTAAAATTTCTCGCAGTAGGTTTTGAACACATGTTGAGTAAGTACGGATTTCTTAATTCTTCTATTGGTTTTATTGTTAATAATAATGATAATAACGTTTAGATTGGAAAATTATTGTTGTTTTAAATGTGGTTTGGGCGAAGGGAAAAAAAGGAGGAAATGTTTGGATAGTTGCAGATGTCCTCTCTTTGTTCATACAAAATGGCCGGTGCGTCTTCTCTTGTTCATCATCTGTCAAGAGGCTAAAAGTTTGATTGAATTTGCGTTATTTTCGGGGTTGAGCTCTTCGTGGAGAAAAAATGTGAATGCCTGAGATGGAAGAGAGATGCTCGATGAGCGGATGCGGAAACTCTAGACCCGAACTGCCGCTACATCCGTTTCCCGCGGACTTTAAGCAGTGAGTATAAATCACAACATCATCAAGTGTGCTTGTGTAATATCGGTGGCCCAATTTGCAGATGCCTACTGTGGATGCAAATCTGCGGCAGACTGGAGCACCTGGAGGATTTCTCCTACCTGGGCAGCAGTCCATTTGCCAGGAGGATGATCTGCTCAAGGCATTTCACAGATGCAGATTATCTAGATCCGCACAACAAATCTATGGGGTAGAGATTTCAGCTGAGGAAATGTTAAATACGCACTCATTAAATGTAATCCTACTGTCTGTTGTAGACTGAAAGACAAAACTGTTCCGTTTGTGAATGGGGAAACTGTTGGAAAAGGTTTGGTTGTTGATTGAGAGATTTCGATTTTTTTTTATTATTATATTTTAGTTAAGAGAGAAACATTCATGGAGGATGGTTCCAATATTTCTGTGGAACTGCTTAAAGCTGTAGACGATCAGCTGATCGCTCTGAAGCGCAAGAATTTGAGCGAGACCGAGTTCGTGGAGGAGCAGGCCAAGATTCGACGGCAGAAGAACGCTCTCAGGGCGGCGCTTAAGCGAAAGGCGGAAACGAGCGAGCAAAGAACGGAGCGTAAGCTGAAGGATATCATAAGGTCGGCGAAGAGACGGCAATCTGAGACGGAGCTGCAGAGGCAGATCAGACGGTACAACGACGCTGTGAGGGCGGCATATAGGAGGAGCAATGAAACGGAAGACCAGCGTCGCAGGAGACGTATGGTGGATATAATAAGGGCGGCGAGGAGGCGGCAATCCGAGACACCCGAGCAGAGGGCGTCCCGTTTGAAGGCTGACAGGGAAAGGGCGGCGCGTCGCAGGCTGCTCAAGAAGATCACCGAGAGCGGTTCCGAGCTATCATCGGACAGTTTCGGCCCCAATCTCATCGAGCCCCACATCAGTCTCAACGAAAACGTCGTCCACCATTTCGCGAGTATCGGAGACCAACCGTGATTGGAGGACTTGCACAAGCAATTCATACACATGTGATAGACATTTTTTCCTTTGTGTTCATAACAATACAATATTTGTATTTTCTCTTTTTTTTTATATTATATTAATATTACAAAAGACTCGCTTAATTACTATACTAAATAACAATCAGTCTCACGTTTCTTCTTTAACAATATTCACACTTATTTTCTATCAAGTATCACATGATCTAAAATGATTACCTTAGAATTACCATTTGGTTGTGGTAGTGGTTCAACATTTGTTGCTGGGAAATCCTGCATGAACTCATTGAAATCAAACTCTATCCCATTGGTGTCAACTTGATCTGAAGAAGTGGGTTTGGATGCCCACTCATCCATCATATCATCAAAGTTGAATTCGTTGCACAGTTCAGTTTGATTCATTATGTCGCAATCCATTAGGCTCGCATCTCCCACTGCGGGAACAAAAGAAGAATTCTGTTGTTCATTGTCAATGCTTTTCAGATCGTTTATGATACTGGTATCATTGCCGGTTGGGTTGATCGGTTCACCCGTTATTGTATCCAAGAACTTGTCGACGTTGAGGATTCTCCTCCTCTTCAGCTTCCTTTGATTATCATCATACATCTCAGACAGACTCCTCGTCACCATTATCCAATCGTGACCCTGCGGATAAACGCATTCACTCTTCAAGCACAGATACACTGCAGTGTCCAGATTTATCTGCTTCAGAACTAGTTTGGAAGAACACACCGGACACAGAATCTAAAACGAAATATCGTTAGTTAAGCAAGAAAATATTTGAAGAACAAACAAAACTTACCTTTTTCTTCGGCATTTTATTCTGCTGCAATTTCATTGCCTTCTCCACCAATTTAATCTTCTTACAAACGACTGAAGAGATGATATTGAATGTAATAGTAAACAAATAATTAATGTTAGGTTATAAGGGAATAAACGTCAGATGAGCACAAGTAGGCAACTTAATAAGCACATGACCACCCACAGTTATATACATAACAATTATATCATTAATTTTTGAAAACTTATTATCGAAATAATTATAAATATACAAGGATTATTTAAAGATTGAAAATTAATAACATTAAAATAATACACAAATTTCCTACCTTTTAACAAGTAATACTAACAATATTTATTGCAACAATTACAGATTACAAATATATTCTCATATGTAAAGATTCATTCATTAATTATGATTATTTAAGTAAAAACCAAATATTTTGAATTTTACTTCCATTTCCGGTGATTCGAAAAATATTTGTATATTTGAAATCGTCCTCGTTCTCACCATATAATTAAATGCAAATAATAATGCTGCGATTTCCTGTCCGATATGGCGTCTGGAACATTTAATTTCTTCATTTTCTCTATACATATATAAAGCAAAGCGTCCAAACATTTTTTTGGAAACTTAACAATGCATCGCTTCCTCGTTTTCATATTCATTTTGGTTCGCTCACTTTACAAACAACAAATAATGTTAAAACTTAATTGAATTGGTTTTCAGAAATTCGCAAATTCTGCGAATATCGCAGACGGAAGAGCCGGGAATATTGAGTATTGCCGCGGTGCGAATTACACGATCGACGGGGAATATTCGATGAAGAATGAAACCGATGGGCAACTAGTTAAAGGCAAAGTCTGGCTGAGCGAGGATTTCGGGAACGACAATAAGGTATGTACTTATAATAATTGTGTACGAAATTGTTTGTTTGTTTTTAGTATTCCTGTAAAATATCCAAGTACGTTGGTAAAAGCATGAAGCAGATTATGCAATTGAAAGGAAGTGGAGTTTGCTCAGCGTTTGGAAAGTACGGAGGAAAATTGTGGGTGGACGTGCTGAAGAAGGCGAATGTGCCTTCGCCTGGTCATTGTCCCATCAAGAAGGTGATTGAAGAGGAAATTTGTAATCAATCATGATTTGACTTCTTTTTTGTTTCTCTTTTTCAGGGCACGTACTCCATTGATTGGTTCAAAATCGTGTACAGCGAAATCTCGCTTCTGACTTTGCTGCCGAAGAGCACGTACAGGGTTGATTGTTCGTTGTTCGACAAAGAGGAACGCAGATTAAAAGCGTGCATTAACGTCGACTTCGTCAGATATTAATTGCAGCAACCACGATTATTAATATATCTGATCGTTGCGCGCAAAAACAGAATAATTAAATAGCGTTATTTGATGATCACGATTATCTATCGTAATAACAAAAATAAATAAAAACCGGAAAGAAATAATTGTAGGAATCAGTAGTATATAAAGCAGTAAACAAAATTAAACAAGAAAAGTTAATTTAACATGTTGTTTTTAAACCTTTGGGCTATCTTTCTCCTCTTCCTCGTCCAGTTAAAGGTTGTATTCTTGATCTAATTCGTTTCTGATCTAATACTTAACTTTTGCAGACGGCGATGTGCAAGAACTACGGTGACGCGATGGTATGGGATTTGGCCCTCTGTCACGGGCACAATTACGTTATAGACGGTGATTTGGTGGTGAGGAATGATACGAAAGGGCAGTCCGTGAAGATCAGGCTCAATCTCAAGAACGATTTCGACAATGAAAATAAGGTAAACTACGCAATTTTTTTTGGAAATTTTGAAATATTTTATGCGTTTTCAGTACTCTTGTAAGTTCTTTACAAAAGTCAACAATAAGAGCAAACAGTTGTTGCATATGAACGCGAAAGGTGCGTGCACCGCCCTTACCAAGTACGGTGGTAAATTCTGGCAAGATGTGGAAACCAGAGCGAACATTCCGTCGCCCGGATCTTGTCCCATCAAAGCTGTAATTATTATATGACGTGAAATTGATATAATTTCACATAAAATGTGTTGTTTCTTTTGCAGAAAATCTATTATCTTGATTGGATGAAAATCCAGTACAAGGACATCCCTTTCCTCGCGCTCGTTCCAAAGGGTAATTACAGGGTTGAATGCAATCTGTACGATAACACGGGACAAGACGTTAAGGCCTGCCTCACATTTGATGTTGCAAAACTGTAGAAGTGTGATTACTATATATTACAGCTTACTTTAACATATACTTAGTTAGCAAATAAAATATTATAGCTAAACAGTAACAATACAAACATCCAACTTTTAGATCAATTCTATCTAATATAGTTTTCAAGAAAAACACTAAGAAGTGAAGACTGTTTTTTTTTTTCATTACTTTCAAATGGATCAAACCACAGCAATGTTTGAATACTTGATACATTCTCCAAACATCCAACTTTCATATGGAAAATTAGAATAGATTAGTTTTCAAGAAAAAATAATTAAAATCAGGAATGAGTTAGGAATAAATATTAGAATTGAATGAAAAAGGTAAACATAATAAGAAAATGAAAATAACGTATATATTTCTGTTTATTTTCGTTCAGAAGTGTTGATGTCAGCTGAAAATAATAATAGTTAATAGAACTGTAGTACACTTATCAGATGATAGTAGTCGTTGATGATAGACCTATCAATGGTTGGTGCACAATTTGCTCTTGCACGATTTAATATAAAACACTCCAGAGACATTTATCAGTTAGTCCAAGAAGTGGTCTCAATTGTGCAGCAAATAATAATATAAGGATATGTTGTTTCACTTACTACTTTCTGCATGATGATTAAAAATATATGTTAAAATATATAAACATATTTATTAATTAAAAAAATCTTATATTTAAATGAGCATGAATAAAAATAAATAGAAAGTCCATGAGATTTTAAATATTTTTATTCTTACAAAAAAAGATTAACTTAAGACCTTGGTCTTTCCTTCTTTTCTTTGTACAAAGCCAAGAGGGATACGTTGGCTACCTTAACAACCTGAAAACAAAAATGAAATATATAAATACATGATTGCAAAATTTGAATCTTGATGTATTGTGATGTATATTTTATTGAATGTTTCTTACCTTGAATCTTACTCCGGGAATATCACCAACGGCGTGACCCTTACGACCGAAACCAGCGACCAAAACTTCGTCGTTCTCCTCAATGTGATTTAAACAACCGTCACGGGGTACGAACGCGGTGATCTTCTTGCCATTCTTGATCAATTGAACCCTGACGCACTTGCGGATAGCAGAGTTAGGCTGTTTGGCTTCAACACCACTGAAATATCAACAAAACAAAATAATTAAAAAATTACTCAGATTGAGAGTGGAAATGTAACAAAGATTGTATGCAACTTTACCAACAAGAAGGAGTAGTTGTTGTTTGCAGCACAGGACATCGCACAGAATTTTTCTGTGATTGGCTTGTATACAAAACGCCATTCACATAGAAATCCTGCGCAACGTCCTGCACTTGGGACTCCTCGATGCACTACATTTCTAAATAGTATTTATTATCAGATCGAAGCGATCAAAACAAACGCAATGTTTTGATGTTGTTTCTTCTTGCATAACCTCAAACACTTACACTTTTTCCAGGACGATTCCCTTGGCGTGGGAAGCACCACCGAACGGATTGGCCTTCCATCTTGTTCCCAAATGGGCCTTCTTGAAGTCCTTGTCGGCCCACCGTTGTTCTCTACGGTGGTTCTTGTGTTTCCTAGCTGTACGAATACCACGGGGTTTTCCTGCACACAACGGAGAAAATATCGTTTAAAATACTGAATAAACTCACTGAACGATTAAGAAACTCGCACTCCGAAACGATTTCCACGCGTGATTCTATAAACGCGAGCTCGAATTCAACGGATGCAAAAAAAATTATTGTATGTGGGGTTATAGTTCGAACACTTTTTTTTAAAACACAACTTATTTTCTCGAAGGAAACTTTTCCGAAAGTCGTTTCAATCACCAGCTAGAGGAACGCTATTTCCCCAGTGTTTTCCATCAAAAAAAGTTATAAATATACGAAAAAACGTTAATAATTCGATAAAAACACAAGACTTACCCATGTTGACGGTTCTGCAGTATAACCGGAAAAGGAAGCTTCTTTACTGACAACTCTGAAGTAAGTTATTTTGCTACTCGCGTCGCTGCCAACAGAAAATATTTTTCAAGCATGCGCATTGAATCTTCTGCAAATTTGAATTTATACATTTTATTTCTACTAATAAATATAAGAAATTCTTTCTTAGTTAAACTACCGTTTAATTATTAGTCAAATAATGGAAATACCCTTAACTATCGCCTGAATACAACACATTAACTTCATTTTAAACATTTACCAATTGAAAATAAATATTATTTCAATTATATTTAACAATAATTATTTTTATTTTTACCTGCCATTAACAATTATTACTTAAAATTATAACTAATCAAACAAATTAACTGTAAGTGTATTGCTGCGCCATCTGCAATTGCAACTTATAAGTAATATTAGTGATTATTATTGGATCATTTAATGTGTTTTCATATAAACTTTATTGAATTTACAGACGAGGAACAAACTATTGTAATTCTAATATTACTTTATTTAACACAATTTTCTTATTAGGTAACAATGTTTGGGTGCTTACGTGGCTAACTTCAATTCGTGCCCCTCAAAAAACATCTTGACAGGTGTAAAAAAAGAGAGGTGTTTTTTTAATAATTAGTGAATTTTCTTTATTTTTTTTAATTAAGTCTGATTGGATTTGTTTGGAATCGTGATGGGAATGCTATTGATCACATGAAAAAGCGATAATTTCCACTGGAAACGACTCGTAAGTATAGTAAACTCGATCATCCTGACATACGCCAAACGTCACCGTGGAAAGTTTTTTACGTTGTCCTTTGTTTATTTTCTTGGATCCAAACGATTTTCATTTATGTTTTGACTTTTCAATTTCCTTCGTTCTACTTTTGGTGGAAATGGGAGAAACAAAAATGAAGTATGGCCCACTTCTTTCTGTTTAGTGCATGTTAAATTTCCTTCCTCATCGATGATGATTTCAATTAACAAATGTGTTGTTTTGTTTATGTTTTACTGATATTTTAGCTTACCTGGTGTATAAACGAAAAACCCAAAGATGGTTTTTGACTTTAGTGAGTTTCACCTGAGCCAGTTCTCACCTTTTGCCAGGTATAATTAGCAAACCATATACTAGTTGTATGAGTTGGGTTTCGGTAATTGGGCAAGTTTTTAAATGGGTTTTATGTTTTTTAGGCAGCCGATGGCTTTTCCTCGGTACTATTTGCCTGTGCCTGGAGTGGAGCCTGATGGGATTAAGCAGGAGAATGTGAGCTGTTTTTTTGTTGGATCATTTAATATATTATTGATTGGGTTTTGGTTACTGTTGATAGCCAAGCGAGTTGCTGGAAGATGATCTCAGGAAGATCAGAGAGGCTAATTTCTATCCCAACTTTCCGTATCCACCGATGAGGATGAAGGAGGAAGAGGACGAGTTCAAGTCGATGGAGATGGAAAGGATCGTGCCGAAGCCGATGCCGAAGATCGAGATGATGGACCCCGAGAATCCGCACTGCAAGCGGAAACCGTTGCCGCTCGAGAAATGCCACATATGTAAGAAGTACTTCCGGCGGATGACGACGCATTTGCAGAAACACGCGGAGATTCAGCAACTCAACGTTAATCACAGTCTGTCGTGTCGATTCTGCTCGAAAGTGTTCAGTAACTTAGGTAACCTGCAGATCCACATGCGGACGCATACCGGCATGAAGCCGTACGTGTGTGAGGTGTGTTCGAAGGGATTCGCCCAGTCTTGTAATCTGACCAATCACATGCGGATCCACACCGGGGAACGCCCATTCAAGTGTCCTCACTGTGACCGCGCCTTCTCACAGTCCGGCAACCTGACGAACCACATCCGTCTGCACTTCGATCAGAAACCGTTCAAATGCCATTTCTGCGATCGTGCCTTCACCCAATCCGGAAATCTCAACTCGCACATCCGGAACAATCACAAAGACGAGAACCACACGCAATGAACAAAGTTCGCACGAATGTCCAACAAATATTAACAGTTTAATTATTATTATTATGTCTTTATCTTCTGTCTTTATTTCTATTTAATTTAACTATTATGTATTATAATTTCGTGATTTAGTTTGTAAGTTTATATAGATATATATAAATATGGAGAATGCGGAGCTTACCGATCCTCGAAGGATTTTCTTCTTTTAATTAAAGAGAACGTTTTATTTGTATACACTAAGCGTTATAAATAACAACCCTGTCTACTCCCGTAAAGAGCTTCAAGCTCCACCTTTATTTTCCTTTTGATCAAGCGATTCGTTGCTCCGATGTACCGAGAATATTTGTTGATTTGCTCCTTGGATTTCTTCACTCCAGGTCTGTGGGTCAGGAAAGCGTTGTTCAGAACCATGTAATCGTAATTTAGCAGGCACAAAGAATAACCCTGAAATGGATTATTAGTTATTTCTATTCGATTCTATAATTGCTGCAATGAAACCTGCGTCATTTTATTTCCTTGCCCCTCCCACGTCAAGCGATCATCGAAAAGCGGGTCCTGATTGGTGCCCACGTAGAACGCCTCCCACATCTTGTTCACGCCCATCCGCTTGCCCACCGTGAACACGCCAACACCCTCCGTCTCCTTGGCGACCAGCCACTCCTTGCTCTTGGGTACAGAGTGGCAGGCGGAGCACAGCTTTTTATGGAACAGGAATGCCTTTCCCGTGCGCATCATCTCCTGCAGGATGGTCTTGTTGGGCGGGACCGATTCGTTTGCGTTGATTTCGAAGATGGGAAGGGCGTAAACGTGAGGGTTGTGGCGGTACGCATACTCGGGATTCGCAGTGATCATCTCGAGAAATTTCGGGATAAAGTCGGGCGTTGGGTAGAGCTCGATATCTGAGGCGAGCACGAAATGGGTGTACGCCCCTTCGCGCGCGACGTTACGTCCCACATTTATCGGATAGGTCAGATTGAGTTTCCTCCTGTACATTTCGTTTACCTTGACGTTCAGATAGGGAGCGCCCTTCTGGCAGTTGTAAACATCCTCGTAGGCTTCGATTAACGCCATCTTATATATCTTGAAATATAATACATCAATAGATATTTACAATTTAAATGTTTTTGTCAGCGAAACGACAACGAATTTGCTGTCGTTGCAATTGATATTTAAAGAAGAAAGCAGTAGGAAAAACAAATGTAATTATTACCGTTTTGGGGAAATGATCCACCGGGAAGAAGACGTGAAAGGTGACGTGGTGCTTGATCAACGGCGTTTCGCAATTCCTCAAGAATGCGATGGAATCGAGGGTCGGTCGAAAGTCTTCGCCTGGTGCGAACAGCGCTACACTGATCGGACCCTTCCATCGTTTCATCAGATCCGGCAGATTGTCCAGGAAGCTGTAATCAGCTTGCGTCGTGTACGTAACAGATTCGTAACATTTGACCTGTCCGGAGGGCCGCACCACGTTCTCCAGCACGAAGAAATCTCCTCGTTGAGAGACGCGGCTTCGTGCGATTCTCTCCTCGCATTGCGTGATCCTTTTGAGGGGCGGAGTTGGTAGCACCGCCTTCGATCTCTGACACAGCAGCTCCGTTGCCACGAGAAACACTCCGAGGAAAAGAAGCAACGAAATAATCGTTCGCACCTTCCAAGGGACGGTAACCATCGCAACTGATACGATTTTACTGGTCGTAGTTATGCGAATGACACCGATAATCACGCAACGGAATAAAAAATCGCTATCTCGGAATGCCATTCGTCGGCGAAATGGTTTGGAGAAATAGAAAGAAATGCGCGTGGGTGGGTGAAAAATAATGGAAACCACATCGCAATCTAAATACATATTTAAATGTCGCACGATACATACAAATCAATTATTAATCAAAATTTAAAAAATAATAATAATATATGACAATAATAGTAAAATAGATATAAAATAAAACAACATGAGATAATATAAGTCACAGTACATAAAAGCGTTTATACAAGAAGTCGATAAAAACAAATAAAAAGTCTCTCAAAATAATAATAATAATATACAAACAACGACAAAACCTTTCTTTCTCTTTATACAGTTTACAGTAATAATAATATAAATATACGTTTGTCTCTTTCTCTATCGATTTAAATAAAAAGTATAGAAACAAAGTTGCTTACAAAAATACTTCGATCGTTCAGATGATAAAAATTAAAACACGAATAATAATATTAATAATAAATTAGCACATTTACAATGTTGTCGACATGGCACGAACAAAATATATATATAAAACTCGCGTTGACGTAACACGAGACGCGAACAAAAGAATGAAGAATTAGAAGAAGAAGCGAGGACGAACGGAATCTGCTTAGCAACGTAAACAAAATAAAAACAAACAACAAGAACAACGAAGACACGCGGTTTACAAAAAAATATATTTGGTCGTTAATAATTATATATGATTATTACTATATCTTTCGTTTTGGATCTGTTCAAACGAAATTTATTGAATGCGTAATAATCTCTCTCTCTCTCTGCTTCTTTCAAAAAAAAATAATAAATATACCACACACCATTTCTTGTTTTGTTCTCTTAACATATTCATTTGATTTAGCTTATAAATTTAGTTAGGCCTTCTCCAAAACATTGTACACACTCACACAATCCACATCTCTCTCACTCTTTTCCCTCCACAATTAATTTATAATAATAATAATAATTTATCTCTTTTTTTTTTCTTTCTTCCAGAAGAAGCAAAACGAATACGGTTTGCAGCGTTAAAATTTCCTAATTTCGATTGTTCAACAAACATGTTAAACCACTCCCACATGTCATTCGACACGCCCACAATCCCACTTCGATGATTCAATTTTTATATCAACAATGATTATCGTTTATTTTAAACTCGACTAAAAACGAATCCAAAATTTAAAAAAATCAAAGCCAAACAAACTAAGAAAAATGAAACATACAAAATACTTCAGTCAGTCAAGTTTCCTTTCGTCCCGGAGGCAAAAAGATGCGAAAAGAAAACGAAATAATGGTCCAGTTTGATTTAAAATGAAAATTAAATAAAGAGAAGACGCAAACAAACAAAAAATGTAAAATTGCGTTTCGTTGCAATTCAGTTCATTGTTTCCATTCGTAGAAGAATGGCCTCCTCGGATATTTATTAGAAGAGAAGGAAAAGAAAAATCAAGAACTTATCTATTGACTTATAATAAGTGAATGATTCCAATCGTGCAGTCTACCCAAGAAAACGACTCTATGCAATGTTCACTCTTCAAGTGGTTCTTTTTTCTCTTTCTTTTTATATTTATATATATTTCTCTCTTTCTCTCTCTCTAACTTTACTTTCAAACTTCCCAAAAAAATGGCACTCTATGACTATATTATATTCTGTTATAATATATATATATATGTATATACACGTGTACGTAGTAAGAAGTGGTGCATCAATTATTAAGCATAACTTTGCCTAAATACAATTTGGTTACCTAATCATCTCTTCATCCTCATTTTGCGTATTACATTAATCCATTTTCTCTTTCTTTCTTAATTAAAAAAAGAGTGTTAATTGACAAGAATCACAAAAGAATAGTAAAAAAAAACGAACAGTTGCGTTGTGTTCGGCGGAATTATTTACAATAGGAAAAAAACAACATAAAAGAAAATTGCACTAAAAATGATGCTCAGTTTTCCAGAAGAAAAAAAAACTATAAATTAAAGATCTAGCGAAGTGGACTAACAAAATTTCGCGAATATTATTTGGCGAAATGTTACGTTCTCTCTCTCTTAACGAAGCAACTCAATTATTTTTTTATATAAACTATTGTTTGCTGCTGCATATTATTGGGCAGCTTTCTTACCGCCTCTGGGTTTGATCTTCTCGGACATCTGCCACATGCTGTCCTCGGAGAGGAACTGATCGAAGTTCTCGAAGAACGAAATGATCCGCTCGTTCTTCTTGAAGCTGTACGTGCTGCTACTGTTGGAGAGGCTGCAAGAAATTTGTCAATTTTCATGTATTGTTAACGTTTCTTATATTACCATTTCTTGAAGCGCTTCATGTTCTCCACGATGTTGAACTGCTGCCATCTCTTCGAAAAGTTTATGGTGTTCTCGCTAAGCAGATTGCTGTTGCCGATGTGGACGAAGGTCAGATCTTGAAGGACTAAACCGCTGCAAATGAGAATCAATAATTAATGATTGATTATTATTAGCGGTTGATTGATACTTACATGTACGGTATGCAGGGCGGATTCGTTTCTGCCAGAGCCTGTCTGTACGCCCTGAAGCTGGACGAGCTGTCGATGAGGGCGCAGTACTCCTTCAAACCTTCCTGCACGTGCTTCTGCCACTCCAAACGTCGAATCGGTGCCGAATCCAAAGCCGAAAGGAGCGCCAAATAAGAGTTGAAGTTGTTGATCTTGCGCAAATGCTTCATGATCTTGATGAACTTGAGGAAGAATTTCTCGCGATCTTTGGCCTCTGCTAAGAGGATCTTCGAGCGAGCCCAGTAGGACATCTTGTTGAAGTGTTCGGTGAATTTGGTCAGATTCGGGCTGCGCTCCTCGTTCTGCTCCTGCGCCCAAATCAGCACCTCAGGTATTTCGATTTTCATGAAGAGGTCCGCATCGAGCAGTGTCATCTGCTCGGCGATTTGCTCGGACTTGAAGTCCAGCAGCGTCACGTTCTGGCATAGAAGGGTTGTCGTCAGCTGCACGCACGTCTGCTTCATCGCCATCTCCTTGACGCCGTGACGTTCGATGTGTTTGACGCGTAACGCCTTCGCCAACGTCAACTCACCGCCCAGGATCAACTGCTGGATGAACTCGATCAGTTTGTTCTGCAATTTATCATCCAAATCCGAAGCTCTGAAATATAAAAATTGAAATTAATAACTTTTCATATTAACACGGATCAAATGAGTTACGTTAAATCGCTGACCACCCTGACGATCAAAGCGAACGATTCCCTCGATCTCGCCTTCTTTTCCGGTTGGCAGTAGAAGAAGTTGTAGCGTTTGATAAGTTTGCAGATTAACTCGTAGGGGCTTATGAATGTACGATATGTCGTTAGGAAAGCCTCCTGATATGAAAAACCTGAAACATACAAACAAATTTGAGTGAATTCGAATTAATTTTAAATTATCAAACAACTGAAAATTTCTAAGCTTAATGTTCAACATACCACTTTCTTTCTCCTCTAAAGTGAGCACCATTAACATTTTGCAAATTAGTTATATTATTCACTCATTCATTTAAATTAATTACCGTTTTTGGTTGCTCTAGTCGCGTGTATGATGAGCGCGTCGATCTGTCCTCCTCGAATATCCGGTCCATCTTCGTCCTCCTTCTTGTGCACCAGATACCGTGACACGTCCAACTCCTCCATCAAATCCATCTCATCTTCCTCGTCATCCTCCTCTTCTTCTTCCGGCTCCTCCTCTTCCTCCTCCGCGCCCACTTCGTTTTCGGTCGCAGCTATTTCCTCCTCTTTGTCTTCGGGCATCTTCGGCGTGTTCACCAGCAAATCGGGCAGAGGTTCGCTCGGCGTCTTCGGCTCAGGCAACGAGCTCAAACTCTGCGGCGTCGACGGCGGTGATAGCCTAGAAGAGCGCGATCTCTTCGGCGGTAGAGCCGGAGGCAGAGAGCTACAGATCATCGGCGATAGAGGAGTCTTCAGTGGACTGCAGAGATCCTCCCCGGATTGCGGCGGCAGACTGAGCGTGTGCATCTGCGTTCTGGTCGTACGACTCGACGAAGACGACGAGGTGTGCGAGAACGAACACGATTGAGTCGTCGGCAGACCGGCGCTGGGGGCCCATGAAGCGGCGCTGTCGTGCACCATGTGCACCGAATGCCTCATGAACTCTTGATCGTTCGAGTGCGAACAGTTCCCGAACATCTCCATGTAGGCCATGACTACAAAAAAAAACAAAAATATTATTACCTAGCAACAACAATAACAACAAAATGCAAGAGATAGATTGAGAATGTTTGAGAGAAACAAAAAAAAACAATGCAACCAAATCGTCGCTAATTCAATCAACAAAAAGCGCATTTGGTTCGCTGAAAACACAAGAACAGAATACACTAAATCAAAGAAAACCTCTCAACCGCGTACACTTTACTCGATCACAATCGTGATATTATAGTTGTAAATCGAGTAAAGTACACGCTCAAATGCAATCAAAATCATCGCAGAAAAAAATCTAAAAGAAAAAGCGTAAAAAAACAACAACAAAAAACAACAGGAAAACGTTTACGAAATAATAAAGATTCGTTTCGTATGTGAATTATTCAGTAAACTTTTCGAAAGTGTGCGTTTCTGTCGAGTGAATTGCACATGGAAAGAGAAAAAGTAGAAATACAGAAAGAGAGAAACAAAAAAAAAACAGCAACAACCAAAACTTATATAAATTAAATGTTTCTTTCTATGAAGGAAACTATAAATAGAAATATAAAAATTTTGTGAGTGTGCTGCTGCGGCTCACTTACCAGAGTAAGCCACCGATTGGAACACTATGGACAAAGGTTTCGAATCACCAAAAATTGCAATACACAATTGAGAATACATCGTGCGATGTAGACGAGTAAACACGAATGTTTGTTTATTTATCGGTTGGGCATTTGGGGCTTGGTTTGTAAACGAACGAAATGAAAAAAATTGATTATAACTTACTGTGTTTCTTCTTTGGCGGTAATGGTGGAGGTTTGCTGTTGTCCTGGCTGATGCTGCTGGCGATGCTCGTGCTGCTGGAGAGGCTCTGATGCGATTGGTGCATTTGGCAGGTGACTAAAAACTCACTACCTGAAGAAACAAAAAAGAAGATGTAATTTGATGTTGTTACAAAAACAAAGGTGTAAGTTGATCTTACTTTCAGGTACGTTATCATATGGCGATGGTTGTCGTTCGTGCGGCCGTCTCCTCGTTTTTTGCGGTATAGCGGGTGGAAGTAAATCATCTCCCAAGCCCAGATCCATCTCGTCCTTGAGCATCAGTCGATGCTGGTGGTGATGATGGTTCGATGCAGACGAAGATACGATTTGATTTGCGGACGATGCGAAAATGCTCTCCGACTTGGTGGACACTTTGGAAGTCTTCACCGTTTGCGAGACGACGCTGGTGCCGCACCACTGGCTTACAGAACTCTGCTGCGAACTCCGCTTCGAGCAGCTCGAGTTCCTCTGCGAGTGCATCGAGACGATACCGGAATCGGTGTTGGAGAGACGGTGGTTGTGCTGAAGGTAGTTGGTCTGCAGTTCGTTGCTGTGATTGAAAATCGATATGGTGGCGTTCTCGTGATGGTTCCCCCCGTGGCTCAGATCGCCCCAGCTGTTCCCATTCAGAGCGATGATGTCGGAGAGATCGTTGTCCAGGATCAGAGTGTCCGTGTCGACGGTGTGATCCATCAGCGCGGAAATCTCCTCCTCCTCCCTAGACTGATTCAGCACCGAATCCAAACTGCCTGCACTCGCCGACAGCAAAGAACTGGAATCCTCGGGCGATTTAGATCTCAGCGAAATCCTCTCCAGACCGTAGATGTTCAAATCGGAATCGTCCAGATTCCTCGCAGGTTTCTTCTTCGGTGGTAGCGGCGGTGGCGTAACGTTCTTTTCAGGCCGATTGAATAGAGCTCTATAAAGAATACAAAAAAAAAACAACATTAAGTTAATTTACTTAATATATGAGATTCAATGATTTACCCATCGGGAAGTGGTGGTTTCGGTGGCGGAGGTGACGAATCTCTTAAGATTGATTCGGAGCTGTGACTGCTCCGCACCTTTCCCGGTGTGCAAGACGTCTGCTCGAGGATCTCGCGTTCCCTGGGAGTCAACGGGATGTCCGGTAAAGAATTCCTCTGCGACGGAAGATCCAAGTTGACATTCGAATACGAAGATCTCGGTGTTGTCTTGTACAATGGCACATTGTTCTGCTGAGATATCTTGTCCTGTGACAGCTTAATTAAATTCTGCAAAACAAAACAAAAACAACAATTTAAGGCATAATTCATTCATAAAATTGTAGAAGATGATAATGGATTGAACAATTAAAAGATGAAGCAATGAGTTCAAGTTCTGAGGCGCACCACAATGTATTGGGTTCTGTTCCTTTATCTCCCCCCGACGTGTGACCCTTGATCCAGCAGCGAAAGCCTAATCTCATCAGGGTTTGTTGTTGTTGTTGTAAATAGGGACTTTCGATCAGTTCTGATCAAAATCATAATCCTAATAGTGTTAAAATCCCGACTATATCAAATAATAAAAGATACTGTCGGGATTACCTACTTTAGATGCATGATAACAATAAGAGCAAATCGTTTACCTGGACAGCTTCTTCGACTAGAGCGATGACTTCGTCGACGTTGGACGCCTCCAGCGAACTGGATTTGGAATCTATGAGGGCATCGTCGCACAGTTTGATCAGCCTCGCGACGCTCTGGTACATGCGATGCGTCGCCGATCGAATAACGCTTCCCTGGTCGACAGCCACCGAAGACTTCACCACCAGATTGATGGCCCACACCGTGTCCAGCACTATCGTCCCATTGCCGGGCAACATCTCCAGCTTCCTCTTGGCCACCACATCCTTCAGATGCTTGAGCGTGACCTGGATCTGTTTCGAGAGAACGTCGAACTCGTGCATAGGCCCCTTATCCTTGTAAACGCCACCTCCACCACCAACTCCTCCTCCTCCATCTATCGTATCTTTCGGTCTGCTTCCTTTGGGGCTCTGCGACCTGAGCCCTTGATTGGTGGGGCTCCGCATCTGGTAGATCTTCACCAGGAAGTCGTCCTTGAAGGAGCGCGCCCGTCGCGCCAACTTCGTGCTCTTGAAGGAGGGCTTGTGACCGCCGGGACCGGAACCGGCCAACGGCGATTCTATATCTGCAACAATCATCGACGAGATGAGCGTATTTCAAATGTACACATCGCAGCAGCAATATTGAATAATATAACATGAACATAATAAATCGGGAATCGATACAGGCACGACGAGCGCAGCCTTTACTCGCAATCTACAGGACAAAGCAATCATCGAGATTAAACGCAGATAAGATTAACGCAAAAATCCTAGTTTACTTCTTGCCAGCAACGAAGTTACCGATTTCAACAAAAGCTCTTTGTAATTCGAGATGGGGTATTCGGCAAACTAGAAAAAGCAACCCCCTCGTCAGTCGATGCTTCGCACTTCTTCAGACCGACAGGAAATGAATTTATTATATGCCTCAGCACGTATTTTCACAGCTGAAGAAAGAAATAATGAAAAAAAAAACCGCCCATCGAAGATTTTGTCACAATTATTTTGAAACATCATAGACGACGCTCGTAAATAATATAATTAATGATATAATTAATATTAACGAGCAACTGTTAATTAACGAACAGATAACGTCATCCTTTAAATTGGACGATTCGCGAGGCGGGAGAAGGGAATAACGTAACAAGACCAAAACCAGAAATGGATTAACACAAAACCACATCCTATAATTATTCAGCAAACAACAAAATAATCAAACGACTAAAGTTTTTTGGGGATTTTGGGGCGGAGGAAGTTTGTGATTTTGAAGGAGATAATATTAATAAATATTGATGCGACGAATTCCTAGGATTAGTCATGATGAGGAGGAAGTTCGCGGCCCACACACATACACGCACTCACCGAGCGGAGAAAGACAACGATGTTGAAGATGATGATGGTAATGTTCTGCATTCGAGATGGAAAAGGGATCGAAGAACAGCAAAGATACACCCTTCGGGTCAGTACGAGAGGAGGTCGAAGGTCAACTCTTGCTACGAATAACAACAACACAACAACAGTAGCAGAAACAGCACTCTCGGTTACCACGGTATCGCGCGCGCATTTGAAGCGACGATGTGAGTTGCTTAACTAATCGCAGACCGAATGAGTGTGACTTAAGTCATCCAGCAGCAGCAGCGCGCAGACTACGATGGGAGACGGAAGGGGGAATTCCCCGCTCACACCTACGCTCCTTCATCGTGTACAAACGGTAGCAAAACCAGCAGCAACAGAAGATGGAGGAGGAAGAGGAGGAACGTGCGCAAGAAATAGTCCCAGATGAAATTCCAGACGATATCCAGACAAAATAAAAACACGGGCACCTCCTGGAATTACGAACGAAACTTCTGAACCCCTCAAGCACGCACCGAGACTTCTTCGTATAATTAGAAAATGAAAAACAAAAAACACATTCAATATCTTCTCTCGAGATCAATACAAAGACTACGTACACTTCATTAGCCCTAGACATGTTTCATTCTTCATACATCTAACAATATAAATTAATAATTTTGAAATTTCATTAATCACTAAACAAGGAAATCTTCAATTCTCAATTAGAAGAGAAAATTAATTTCTCACTAATATAAATGAATCAAACAATTTATAATTGTATTTGCAATATCTCGATTTCATTATCATAATATCTCGATTGATTGAATGAATTGTCCTGTTGCTTCGTGTAATTATAGAACATAATCTAAGCAAATCGTTTCAATGTTTGAAAATGCAAATACTTTCACGATATCAGTGATTAGCATACAGGTATTTAGAAATTCATGCAATTATTTACTAATCATCGAACATACAATTCCATCAGAAACAAAAATATTTCGCTTAAGTAAAGAAAAGTACATAAACTTAAGCATTTTCGCTTTAAAAAAGGACTAAAAAACAACTAAATTATCACGTTTTTAACTTTGACCATGTTTACCAAAAAATAAGTAAATGGACTTGCAAAAATAGAATGCATTTTGGCAGGTAGAACGAAGCACATTTTTGCATTTCCGTTTTCAATTTTTCCTCCTAAGCAGTAAATTGCAAAGAATACACGCACATACAACAAAAAAAAATAAGAAATATCTAACACATTTCGCACAGAGACGCAAATAGATTTCGCACTTTTCCAAGGACGAAAATATTATATATATATCAACGTCTGCACATCTCCATAGAAACACAATATTTCAGATACGTAAATTGTTATCATCTGCATTGTTTTTGCTAATGCATCTCGATTAAATCATTTTCATAACCATGGAAACAGAATTGTTATTATCTAGCAGAAATGACTAATTTTACTTGCAAAAAAAAAATTCTATAAACGCGACGAACGCCAAATAAGTCCCGTCCTATTTTTAGTTAAGCGCGAAATAAATCAATGCAAGCAAGACCATAAGTGCTGAAAGGGGATCTCCAATGATTCATATATCAGCATAACATTTTACAATTAGATCTGATCAACATTCATGATGTTAGTTAAAATGAAAAGATACTAATTAACTAACTGGATTGAATACGAATTGGAAATGTAACGTCACTTATTGTAACGATCTCTTAAGGAAATTGCGTCGTTTCGTTATGCTAATAACGACCGCAGTCGCGTCTTCAGCTCTGAATCGCAAGTGGTTTGTAATTAATAAATTAATAATTGATTGATTCGCGCGTGACTCTACTTTCGAAAGCTACAATAAATTTCAATCAACATTTTTCATAAAATGACACGATGAGTTAATTATTATTATATATTATACAGATTTCTTAGGGAAAAAAACGTTCCCCCATTTGTCACTCAACTTTAGTAAATCATCCCAGCATACTTGATTTATAGCTTAAAAATTCCAAGAACTGAACTAAAACTTACTCGACTCGAATTTCTTTTCATTCAATTCGAAAACTTTTTATCAACTTAAATTTTCTACCAAGTTAAGATTCAACAATTACATTTCTGTTGTTGATACATTAAAATAAAAGCAGTAACTGCAGCCTCTCAATTAAAACTGAATGATTGATACGAAACACGAGTTGCAAGGAAAACTTAAATAGTTTCTAGCAGTCTTTTCTTTCGTAATTAACAAAAGAGTATCGGTCACCGTAGCGTAACTAACGTAAAGAATGGAATCGCTGTTGTTCAATGAAAACAAGAGAAGAATAATGAATGCGCAATTAACATTAATCAGCGTTTTATCTGCACTTGAATATAACATGGACTTTTTATTTATCTGTGCATTTAGTAACGAATGGTTCATCGTTACAGCAATGCACAATATAATTGCGTAAAGAAATCTCTGCCTGCAAATGACATCTGTCACAATTATATCGCATTTGCGTGACGTAACATAGGACAGGCGGTGGAAAAAACAAATTCGGTTTGCGTTTCACGGAACATTTTTTGTTTTTATTCGACAGCGATCACGTAAAATTGCCGCTTTTCAATAATTTTTTTTTTGTTTGCCGTCGTCTGCGCGCGTGTTTTCCTCTTTCTTTCTATCCTTGTCGACCGGAAGGGAGAAACCGATGTGGGCGAATCGTGAAATTCACTGAAACCTGGGGCCGGAAAATTCCAGCGAACGAAACATAAAATAAAAGTAAATATAATAATAGGACGAATAAGAAGAAGAGATGGGCGATCTGTCACAGAACGTGGAGGGAACCGCTGCTTCCGGTACGGAGGAATGTAAGCAGTCCATCCAACTGCTGAAAGAGACCAAAGAGTTGGCGGACATCACCAACGAGGCGGCCGGAGCTGCGGACCCGGAAGCTTCGAAAGGGGCGGAAGCGGCGAAGGGGAGCAGCGGAGGAGCCCCGAAGGACATCGAGACTGTTTTCGAGAACGTCGGCATGGAGAAGACGATCTCTTCTGTGGCGCCGTTGGAGGCCATGCCGGATCCACCGCACGGTACGATTTTTGTTGATGCCATTGCCAATTGCTGCACACCTAATTCCCTTAATTACGTAATACGTTTACAATACAACAACATCCTGGTGCGTCGTTTTCTTAGGTCTGCATTTCATGACTCCTTTAGCTTTATTCTTGCAAATATTTACCCTAGTTCCGTTTCTTGACGAACAAATTTTGAAAGCATTCTTATTAATTGTCTATATGTTTTATATTTTGAAGAAATTTCCAATACGATCCAGAGCGCAGAGAGCGGCAGGATGAACAAGCTGCGCGATCACAGCAGCAACATTTTTCCCGCTGGGATAATGGGATGCAAAGAGGAGGCGATCATAAGCCCGAGGCGATTCCTGGACGCGCAGGAAGCCTCCAAGGACAGCATCGGGCACATCGAGAACATGCCGAGGAAGATGCCGTCCGCAAGCAAATCCGATCACAACAGGAATCCACTGACGGGTCTCGGGCTTGGGGCCAGCGACGAGATCAAGAAGGCGGCAAACAAAAGATGTTAGTACACCTAAAAATAGCAAAACGGATCAACTATTTTCAGTCTGCATGTCTCTACTGATAATTGTAAAATAATCTACTTGTATTCAATGTACGAAAATTGAATGAAAATTTCGATAACCCACGAGCCACGAAATTATTTGAAATCTGTGTAGCGGGGAATCTGTATACTTATTTATGGCTTCTCTATGTCTGCTCTATTGAGATCATAACTGAAATTACCGATGTTGAAAAGTTTCAAGGTTGTTCTCTCAGATCGCGTTTAAATTTAACGTGCAGCGAATCAAATCGAATTGTTTGTTAAATTTTCAGTTTAAATTTTTTGTTCTTTGATTTGTTTTTAGCCGATGGAAACCCTGTGCTAGGAGTTGGTTACGACAAGAAGATCTCCAACAGTACGACCCGCATTCCGCCGGGAGGCTTCTCGCACGGCCTCTGGTAGGAAATAGCGTGCGAACTCCACCAACACCACCACCGTCCTTCTTCTCGTATAGTCCAAGTGTACGGACTATTTAGAAAAAACACAGCCCAAAATTCTCAATAAAACTTATGGCAACAAACCTCCTCTCCTCATCGCACAGTCGCCGCAGATTGGCTCGTAGGACAGGAGTACCGTCCATCGTTTCGGCTTGAAGCCGCCCTTCCTCCTGTCGACAATACGATACTTCCGCTTCCTGGATTTGGGTTCCAGGACTACGCAATCGTCGTGCATTATTTTTGCTTTGGTAACGAAACTCTGTTTTTTTTCTTCTTCTCACGTTTGATATATACTACATACACACTGTAATAGCAACTGTGGCACTGGTGTTATGTATTATTGTCACTGCATATTCTCGCGCCTCCACATCCTACTAATTGATCATCATCCGATCGCTATTGAATGGTGTTGGCACGTGATCGTCGCAGATGATCGCGAATCATTGGTGGCAGCAAGCACATCTTTTAATTGGTCTCCCGACTCGCAATACCCGACTACAACTGAATCCAGATCATCATCGTGCACACACAGAAACCATTGCCAAAAAACATAAATTCGTGCGTGTGACGGCAGCACAGAACCTTGACAAGGTCCCCAGATCGCGAGCACAGTGGGCAAAACTAATGAAAATACCATAACGTTTAAACAAAACATAATAAACATTGAATCAATGACAAAAGCGTGATGCCGCCCGCCCCTCATTTGCATCCTCCTCCTCATCTTCATCATGTTATTATTATTATTCATGTGTTCCGATTCGTTTCAATTACATTCGCAAATGCGCTCTGAATTCGTGGAAAAACAATTACAAAAGCAGCAGCAACAATCGCGATTTCGTATGTGCGGATGATGTTATGCAACGAGGCGAAACGCACACACAAAAACGCGCTTGTATTGGATTTCAAGGGGGTGCTGTTTATTTAATTCCGGAGTGTTTTTGGTGTTTTGTTTACGCTGGGCAGAGACTGGAAAAAGAAAGTCTGACCCATTTCTTTCCGGTCGTTTCTGTACGTTCGAATTAACTGCGGATGAAACAAAACAAGGCAAATACTATTTGCGGAACGGCGGGAAAAATAAACATGAAAATGTTACGGTCTAACAATTATCAATATATGTAACATCATTATATATACATATATAAATTAATGGGATACCCAGGCAACGTTTTATGACAATTGTGAAGCGAATTATATTTCGCAAAGAATGCTAATTGATTTATGGGGAAGAAACAATTGCGCGATGAATTATTGCGACCACTTGATTGAATACGCAAATGCTGCGGGTGCGTGTCGCACAAATTAAGTTATCTACACAAAAAAGAATGAGAACAATGTTTAATAATTGCAGATGAGTAGTAGCTATTCATAGGCATGTGCAAGATCCATTAGAATATTATGCAATAGGTAAAAACGTATTATTTATAATTTCCATCACTTTACATTTATATTGTAACGATATTTAGTGTAAGAATTATTAGTACTTGGGAGAATGGATACAACAGTGTGTGGTTTTAAGTGTATAATAACAATGAGTTTTTGGGATTGTTCAGGAGAGGTGAATAATGCATTCCAGTTGACAATGGGAAGCGATAGATGAATAAAATGACTAGTACTACTATGGTATGCCATATATCTATTAAGACCCCAGTCTTCGTGACGCAGGTAGTTGAATATTATTCTAGTCGTTCCAGTTAAGACGAGCGCAGGTACCAGACTACCTTGGATGACCGCAAGTAGTATACCACACGTTTTGTGTTTACCTAGGATCAATATGAACTAGTTGCAATAGATGGATGAAGGTATCTTATAAGAAAAAAAACCTGTTAATCGCCGATACATCATGATGACTCAAATCCATATTATGCGCACTCCATAAACTACAATTACATTGATTTTCGCATAGCGCTCCGAATATACGAATGCCTACGCTAATAACTAATTACCGCAATTAATTTCCGCTCGGCATTCGAAATGTTGGCGCCTTCGCGCCATATGCATGTTAATGCATCCATGGCAACAAATAAACAAATAGCGTTTTGTAGGCGGCGGCGGCGGGAGTATTATACGCAATCAACAGCTGATTCATGGGAAATGAACTTGAGTGTGCAATTAGTTTAACTGCTGCACTTTGCAGAAGCAGCAGATTTGCATAAGTGAATTTCATTCATTATGAAAAACACAAGTGCAAGTGTATAGTAACCATGGAGATGTAAACAAAGGTGTGTGTGCTCTCATAGTGGTGAAATCATTTTTCTTTGTACCAAAAAAAAGTTTGGTCTCTGCTTTCAGGAGCCAATTGGACGGTTTGTTTGCAAATACATAGAAATTTGTGCATTTATTTTAAGCACTCTATGTATATTTACTGGTAGCAAGGATATATGTGATCCAATCTGAAACTTAGCAGGAAGCATGAATGGTGAGTGTAAACATTTTTGTAAGGTAAGGGAAGTAGGGGAAATGGAAACAATTGCTTCTGGATTGAAGTTATCATAAGTAAGAAGTTTAATTATGTTTGTGTAATGACATAGACATATATATATAAACATGAGCGCCACTCGACCATTTTTATATATATAAACGCACATACACAGAAATAGAACTTGGGGCATGTGCCAGATTGCATAACTGAATGCACGGAGAGACGGTCGTTAACCTCTCGCGAAAATAAATACGAGGGGGATTTGGTTTGGCGGTGTCGTAGGGGGGTAGCAGCACGGCGCACTCACCTGAGGCGGCGAATTTTCCTGACTTGGGGGTGGTTGTCATGGCCGTGCCGATCTTTCTCCGTCCCTTATCCACAATTCGATTGTTTCGTCCTCTGCTGCAGCTCCTGCTCCTTCTACTCCTGCTGCTGTTGTTCACAACACCACCGAATCTTCCTCTCGATTCCTGGTCCTTTTCAAACGCAGCAGCCGCCGCTACGTCGTCGTCCAACGCCGGATTTTCCACACGGCGCCCGCATAACGACACCCCCGAAAACGATGGAAACAGGGATGAAAAAAAGAAACGGGGAAATTATGTGGGTGCACAGAAAGGGGGAGAGATTCTTCGCGCTGAGATCTGGGGGTTGGAGACCGGGGGTGACGGAACGCTCGCGCTGCTATGAACTGTCAGATGACATTTGACATGAAAACAAAAACGATCGATACAACACACCACTCACTTCACACTCCATCTGACATTTATGCCTAGGCAACCAAATATACACACATTTAAAATTATCCACAACATCCACTATTTTCTTCTAACATGACAAGACTTCATACAATGTTGATCTAAGTATACAATAAAACTAAAATCTATAAAAGTTTATTGTTAGAAAGTGAAGATATAAATAATTTAAATATGCATTTATATAGGCAACCCAATTAACTCGTTTGTCTTATTTATTGTTCAATGTTTTTTTCTCAAATTTATTTAATATCGCCATAAAAACGTCACGTATAAGCTACAAACTGCTGCTTGACATTTTCCTTACAATTAATATATTTTTTTTTAAATAAGTTTCTATTGCTAATCGATTATAGTGCAGAGGAAGTCCAATTGATTGGGCATTAAATACACGACATTGCCAAATGTTTGTGTTCAAAATGATCGAAATTTGGTAGACAGTTTACACGAAACTAATTGTAAATACTTTTAGGTTTTCATCTACGAAGCATTCAACTGGTAAACTGCCGGCGATAGCAACACATTAATCAATATTCGCAACAAGTTAAAGGTAGCGAAACGCTACGCGCTGGCAACGTCTAACGATTTCCATCTGTCAGTGTCAGTTGTGACGGCCGTCAGTTTAACTTGTAGCTCTGCGTTTTTCCATCAACACAATGTTTTAATTAATTACAAGGATTCTTCTTGTTCGGCAGTGAGAAAACATAAGGTAATACTTTTGAGGTTTAGTTTATGGATGAAGTCTAGGGTAAGTTTTGTTGTTGTTTGCAGCGAGTATGGGTAACTCGGGGATCAAACAGCACTTGGAGACCGCCAAGAAGACGGGCGTTCTGAAGGTGTCCCAGAACAAGATGAACGAGTTTCCACCAGGTTTCCTGCAGCTGGAAAGCAATTTAAGAACACTGGATTTGTCCGATAACAAATTCGTGACGCTGCCCAATGAAATAGCCAGGTTCTTGCATCTCAAGCACCTCAATTTGAACAAGAATATCCTGGCCAAAATCCCCGACTGCATTGGAGCTCTCACCAAACTGGAAACCCTGAATGTCTGTCACAACAACCTGTCCAGTTTACCAAGGACCATCTCCAATCTGATCAACCTCAAACAGGTCTACTTATCAGATAATCATTTCAAGGAGATTCCGCTAGTGTTTTGTGGTTTGAGGCACTTGGATGTGCTTGATCTCTCTAGGAATGAGATAAGCTCAGTGAATGGGGATATAGCCACACTGAATGTCACCGAGCTGAACCTCAACCAGAACCAGATCGCTGATCTTTCGCCGCACATCGCCTCCTGTCCGCGTCTAAAGACGTTGAGATTGGAGGAGAACTGCCTGCAGCTGACCAGCATCAATCCCAAAATACTTACTGATTCCAAGATCTCCAATTTGGCACTGGAGGGAAACCTATTCGAGATGAAACAGTTGAACGAAATCCACGGTTACGACGTTTACATGGAGCGGTACACGGCCGTCAAGAAGAAACTGTTTTAAATTGAAATCAGTTCAAATTATTCTGTTACCTTTGTACATATTATTTTGCACAGCCGGGTGAGTCTACTGTTTTCATCTCAGAAGGTCTTTTTTTATCATATTTACATATATATATATATACATATTATTTATTCGTTGTTTTTGTTTCTTTGTTAAGTAATTAATCATATTGTCATACGGGTCTAGTTTGGAATTTGCGCCAATAAAAAAAAAATAATCAAATTTAGTAGGGAGAGGAATGAGATGGAAAAACGTGTGGTCCAATTTATCGTAAATTTTTAGATTTCGAATGATCCTGTCGCGCTGCGGTAACAATGACGCGACAGTTAAATTAGATAATCAAAGTATGTTGTTGCTAATAGCAACAGGAACAAACAAACAAAATCTTTTTTAGACATTTTGTTTTGATTTGTTTTTTCGTTCGGAGAGCACCTGAGAATTTTTCTTTCGTTTACTTTTTTTGTTTGTTCTTCTCGGTTCGTCGATGAGAGGAGGACGAGTAGAGAGGATTCGTCCGTTCTTTGCGGTATTTGCTCAAACTCTATACATTTCCTTTATTGTCTACAATGAACAAACACTTGAGCTTCTAGCGGCACTAAAACTTACAGAGCTTGTCGATGTCAATTACAGAACGCGTCGTTCTGCTGTCTCTATGTAAACAAAACAAAACTAAGCCTACTTTTCATCCCTCCAATAAAAATAAAGCAAAAATGAAACTGTACTCTACACAAGTAAATCTTAAGCTACGTCTTTGAAATTAACGATAATTCTACATACATATTAAATATATATATATATACTGAAGCGTTTTAGTCACTTGAGCTTTAAATGTTGTAATGATGTTAATGGAATATTTAAAGAAAATGTGAAAAAATAAAAACAAACATTGCATGACGATATGTGCATAAGTTACGTTGTATTGACAATCAATTTCTCGTGGTGTTGCTGAGAGAAATTTCGTTTGTTTGTGTTAGAAGAAAACTTTTCTATCGAAGATGAATTGAACGAATTGTACGTTTGCCAAAAGAAAAAGTAATAATAACGAAACGAAAAAAATGTTAATTATAAAATCTATTTCTCTGTTTTCTGATGTTATGCAGCGAGCAGCCGTCTCTCAGCGTCGATGCAATTTCGGAACGGACGGACGGCTGTATATTTTGTAACAGTTTTATTTGTAAATATTACCTATATATTTATATATTATCGTGCTTTCGATAATACCTGAAGTGTACTTCTTAAACAATATATATATGTATATCGGTCAATGCGCATATTTTTTATTTTTATTATTTTTTAAATTGTAACAAATATTTCTTTTTCATTTTATGAATACGTAGCACAATATTTGCGCTATTCCTTTTATTCTATGATTACTACTATTGACTAATGATATGTCTATTTATACATTTATTACTTCGTCAAATAATTCTATGTAATGCATATGATGAGTGTATGTGATGAGGATATAATAATAAAAGAAAACGAACAAAAGTTTTTCCTTTGGAATTTTCTGCGGGAACGTACTAATTGAAAAGCTTTTCAATTTGCGAGCAAACGACAAAACATATGTAATACAATACAAACAGTAAAAATTAAAAGGACGTCTTCTTTTGCTGCGATCTTTCATTTACGTGCCGATACTGCATCGAACAAACAGGTATGTTACATGATTTTTGTTTTGTTTATAAAAGCATTTATTGCGAGAAATATGTTGGTATAATATTTGCGCCGGAAGCGGAAGCGCGATTTGCAGAAGATTTGTCGAGGCGCAGATTCATTTATCGTTCACTTCGTTTTCTTTCTATCCGGTTTATTGTTGTTTTTTTCTTCTATATTTAAGCTGAGTGTAGGTGTGCACCGTAAACACAAATAATATCCGACACAGTCTAAAGTTTCTTATTTTAGACGCGCGGTACAAACATTATGTTTTCGAACAGTAAGCCAATAAAGCGTGTTAAATCATTGCAACTACTTGGAACGACTGCAACGTTTCAAATCGAACGCACTTTCTCGATAATTTTGCTGGAATTTTAAATTACGAAAAAATAATAATGTTGGCTATATTTATTTATTTTTATTTTTTGTATTGTTTGGTTTCCTTCTTGACTAATTTATAACAAATGATCAATGTTGGTAATAGGTGCAGGGGAAAAGCGAACGTCGTTGCTGGGGTTGGTACTGGCGACGCTGTTGTATTGCTCAAGTTGTTTTGTTGTTGGCGTAGTCTTCGAGTTTGAAATTTTCGAATTGGATTGCGAGAGAGGTGTTATCGTTGTTTTCCTCTAACCGTGAAGAAGAAGGGGGGAAGAAAAAGTGCGTTGTTTTCGTTGCCGCAGCAGTAGTAGCCAAGGCCAAATTTTCCTATAAATCGGTGCCGCGTCTCTGGCACCGCTGCGCCGACCGACGCAGAGGACGTCCTCGTCCCACCCGAAAGGATCGAGGCTCAGGACAAGGACAGAAGCGGTCCGTGTTTATGATCGCACCGTAACAACCGGCAGTATCAGAGAGCGAGCAGCATCGAGGAGAGGACAGCAACGAGAGAGTGAGATAGAGAAAGGTTTATTCCTTCCTTCGCCTTCCTTCCACGGTCTATAATACCCCCCTTCACCAGCCCCCCTTTGCTTGTATCTATCCGTTGGTCGGCTTCGTTTCGTCACGTTTCGTTTGATTCGTTCGGTTTTCGTCCTGTCCTGTGCGTCGTACGTTGTAACCTAGCTGCGTTGCGTTCGCATTTCGACATACGAGCAAAAGCCGTGCTAGAGCGTTTTCGAAGCGGAACAAACAATAAAAAAATAATACAACCACACCGCACCGATAATAGCCTATTCTCTACTTCGGATTCCAATTGGATAGACAAGTGAATCAGGTGGAAGGAAGAAGCACGACAGACAACGTCAGATTAAGGTAAAATCCTTGTAATGAAAACTCCTCCGACGCCGCCGACCGGGAAGACAACAACGCCAAGCAGATGTTTGTTTTTGTTTTGACGCCGCAGTCGACCACGTTTTTTTTCTCATTGTTTTGATTCGCTCCGCTTCCGCTGCAGATCATCATCGAATTGTCGAGCTCGATTTTTCCCCATTTGGATAAGCTTCCGAAAGCTTCTTGCGTTAATGCTATTTTTCCGAGGACGTCTTGTGCATTCTGCTGTTGCAAGAAGCCATTATCAGTCTTCCCCTCCTCTCTCTCACACACTCGCTCTATCGTGCGCTCACACATACAATATACGCCTTCCTATATTCATACACTGCAGCTCCATCTCTTTCTGTGTTTATGTGTATAAATATATAAATACTAGCAAGCATTTATATTTATCTCGATTGATAATGATGACACGTTACGCAATGCGTTCCGTTCAGAGACGGGAGGAAAATAAACGGAATGCGAACGAGCGAGCGAGCGGGAGGTTGTTATCCTGCGCATTATAATTATGCACGTATACACCTATTTACGGACGTTAACCTGCATGCGATTTGTGATTTTAGCTGTCGAGAGCATTAAATGTTAAATTGTTTACGTATATATGTTTTGTTTGCTTCAGCAGCTGATTGCGAGAGCTCCGAAGATGGCGTGTTCCATTGATAACTTGGACATCGAGGAGGAGTTCTCTGGCGATGAATTGGAGAAGGACGAAGAGGTCAAAGATGTTGTTATGACTGGACCAGCTGATTTGAGTGCATGCAAGAGGAAGTCGAAGAAGATCAGCAGGCAGAACAGCAAGGAGAATGTGGTTGCGACCACCGGGTTCGTTCACGGACCGAGGAGTTGGAAGAACAGCCGCAGGTCGAGAAACGGCTTCGGCAGGGGATTGCCGAAGAAACGCGGTGGCGGTGGTAAGGGCGTCTGGGGTCTTCCTGGCTCCGAGATGATGGAGGCATACGAGGACATCAACGATCCCAACTACGACAATGAGAACCTCAGCAACGGGGATATCGAGCTGAAGGCTGTGATCCCGGAGATCTCGCTGGAGGACATCAAGAAGAAGTGCGCACCTATCGTACTCGAGTACTTCGAGAATGGCGACACGCACGAGGCGGCTATCTCCTTCGAGGACAACATACCGCACAACGTACGCGATCTTCTCGTGCAGTACGTGATTGAGGTGGCGATGGATCACAAACCCTCGCACAGGGAAATGACATCCGTGCTGATCTCCGATCTGTACGGCCACATCTTCACCGAGTCCGACATAACGAAGGGATTCGAGAACCTCTTGGCCAATCTGACCGACCTGATCATCGACATTCCAGACGCCTCGACTGTGCTGGGCAACTTTATGGCTCGCGCCATCGCCGACGACTGCATCCCGCCCAAGTTTCTCAAGATCATGAAGGACAAATCCGATAGTCAGCCGTTCCTGGACGCCATCGACCGGGCTGACACACTCTTCTCCATGAAGCACGGCCTCGTGCGGTTGCACAATGTGTGGGGCGTGGGCGGTGCCCTTCGTCCCGTCAAGTACCTGACCAGACAGATGTCACTACTCTTACAGGAGTACATGTCTTCCGGGGATATCGCGGAGGCGATCCGATGCGTTCGATCACTGGAGGTGCCGCACTTCCATCACGAGTTAGTCTACGAAGCTATAGTTATGGCCCTCGAGGCTAACTCGGCTGTTAGGGAGGAGGCTCTGTGCTGCCTCCTGAAAGCCCTCTCCGACGCAATCATAGTCACACCAGATCAAATGGAGCATGGGTTCTTCCGCGTCTACGACGACCTCTCCGATATTTCCATGGACGTTCCGCTAGCATACATTATCCTCGATCGATTCGTCGAACGCTGCTTCAAGCAGGGCTTCCTCACCGAGGATATCATGAAGAAGCTACCATCCAGAGGTCGCAAACGCTTTGTCTCCGAAGGAGACCAACAATTCATTAAGAACCACAGGATTTCTTAAGTATTAAATACTTATACTTACATATATATATACGTTATGATATAATCGTCACTTGTTTTTTTCAAAACAACAAAAAAAAGATATTTTTTGAGTTTATAAAATTCAATATATATAGTTGCTAGATGCACACACTACACACACATATACTGACACCGACACACACATACATATAAACACTATATCTTATATATATATACAAAGGAATATATATTAAAATATTACAAAGTATATAATAATATTATTAGGTTATATATATATAATACTATTTTTTTTTCTATATTTGTTCTTCTATGAATAAATGATTATTTCAAGTTATTAAAATATTGTTTGTTTTAATTAAAAACAAAAATAATAATAATAATCCACATACTTATTTATATATATATAAATGTTTATATAATGCATAACATAATGATGATGATAATAATAATAATAATTAATAATCTCATTGCGTAACCAGATTTCGTGTGCTCCAACAACAAAAGGTCAAATCAAAAATCATCAACAATATTTCTATAATAATCTTGATTGATGATATGTTGTTATCCCCCCCGGGAAGAAGATGAAAAACCCCGTGATTCAGTGTTTTTGTTTTATACTGTGATTGATATTTCTATCTTTTTTAATATAATAATATGTCCATACTAACCTAAGTACAAAATAGAATGGAGGAATTTTCCGCGCTCCGATCACAGAAGCACAAACGTAAATCGTATAATAATATAATAAACCTATGCATAATTATAATTAAAAATCTAAAATATATTATGTACATGTACGTAAATGTATTGTATTTGTTGGGCGCGAGAAAATAACAAAATTCTTAAATGCATATTTAAGTTTTCGTGTTCTTCATTTGTTATTTGGCAATTTCTTTTCGGTACTTTTCTTGCGCTTTGTTGCGAAATAACATATTGAATTTGGGAGAAGTCTCTTCGCCCCCTCAATTGATCCGATAAAAGTTACAAACGTCGTAGTAGTAGTTGGGTCATCATTCGCGAAAAATTCTAGAAAATTTGTTATTTTCTAATTGGAATAGTCAATAATAATAGTAGTTAAGTAATACTAACAAAGAAAAAAATAGAATATTGAAAGAAATGTTAGAAACGTTCAATGAATATAAATTTCGTTAATATGATGATGATGATGATACCATAGACATACACCGTCGTCGATCGATCCAAGGAACTGCGTCTCGTTTTTAGTAGTAGTCAACAAAAGTAAAATACACCGCACCTCTCCACAAGCGCTACGCGCCTATCTTTCTCTTTCTCGAAGATCGTTACGTAACATACTTTACTTAATTATTGTCTAAAATACGGTCCTACTATATGAAAACGAACGATGTTAATGGCAATGTTCGGTCACGTCGACGATCACAGATTTCTTCCATCCGAAGAGGAAGTACCCGACGGCGGAGCCCAGAACGACGGCAAGGCAGAGCCACACGTTGTACGTCATGAAGATCAGCATGAGGAAATAGGAGACGATCATCTGCACTATGTGCAGCAGCGTTTGGAAGAAGTGCATCTTGCTCCACATCGTCGGCCTTCGAACACAAATGCAAGAGTTAGTTAGAAACAAACAATCGCAGCACGAACGATAGAAAAAATATATGTATAAAAAAAAGAACCCAAGAATTATTTACAGCTACATTATATAAATATCTATATATATACAGACACGACGTATAACGTAAACAAATCATTCTTTAGTTATTCTTAATAATGCAATTGCATCAGCCTATCTACATATAGACGGTAAAGGCAGATTTAATCATTAAAAACAAATCGCAGAAGCCTTAGAAAGTTAAATACGTACCGACCTTTACTATAATGCAGAATTTACTTTCATTGAACTATTACGCATGTTTTTTTTGTAAATTTGTTTACATATTGAGTTTGGCAAATAATCATTTGAATGTTTAACAACTCCAATCCGTGTGATTATATTCCATAAAAGTAATATTTTTTTTTATGATTGCAAATTTCAATCTACCATTATTCATTTCTTATAATTAGATTAAGCAATTATCTTTTACATTCAGAATGATTCATTTAGACATCGAAACATAATACGTATCAATAGAATCCATATGCAAACTGACCCTTCATCCGCAGACTCGCTGCATTTCCGTTTTCTGTGATTGCTTTAACAATTGCATATTGTGATTATTACAACATCAGTTACATGTATTGATAGCAACGAATTGCTCTCTTCATATTAAATAAACTAAATAAGCAAAAAAATAGAGAGAACAAAATAAAATCATATGGTGCACGGAAAGATCTTTTCAGGTGTGCGGTTTTCCAAAGGTGAAAGGTGGCATGCATTTCACGTTACAGTCAACTAGAGGGTAGGTAATAAATAGATGATTAAAGTAAGGAGATAGTTACTAATAAGATCAAGAGATTAGCAAAGAAATAAATTAGTAGCTCCTCAATATGTACAGATTAAGAGCGGACATGGAAAAACAATAATCTTTCTCTTGAAGGCTCACTTACGGTTGCTTGTGGATGACTTCACCAACCATACTGGGTGAATTGTTTGTTCGTGTGTTCGAAGTTGGAAATGAACAAAATGAGAACAAGAATTAGAACACGATAAAAAAAAATGTAGAATCGAACAAACGATTTAAATATGTATGCGATCGTTGAAAATATTTTGTCATAATTGGGAGGATACTCACTGCACAATCTTGTTATCCTCCAGGGCGACTTCCTTCGATTGTGGCAAGGTGACGGCACGGTATTGAAGCGCATTGTACGTCTTCCAAAACAAATATTCTCTGGAAACAAAGAAATTATAGTATAATATAGACTATGATAACACAGGCGTGTACATTTGGTTGCCTACACGTACGCACAAAATTTACAAAATAAAATGTGCACGCCCCTAAACATTCTTATTATTGGTGACTGTGATTGGAAAGGCGTAGCCTAGTAGTTACCTGTAATACTTCAGGCCTTCGTAGAGGGCGGCCAGGAAGAAGATACCGATCATGGATCCGATGAGACCTCCGATGGTGCTGATATGCCACGGTTTGAACAAGATTGTTTCTGTGTATCCAACGTGAAACTGCGAATAATATTTATAAAAGTTGAATGTTGCCGGTCAGTTGCGAAGATCAAGAAACGCTTGCACTCACCCACATGGCCATCTCGTGTCCCATTCCCTCTTTGGGGGTCATATTATGACCAGCCATATCATGACCAGCCATACCATGACCGGCCATATCGTGACCAGACGAACCATGATGACCCGCCATATCGTGACCCATGTGGTGCATACTGTGATTCATCTGAAAATCAAACCAAAATAATTACAAAAATAATCAACCATAATCAATTGAAATAGACATGAATAATATGTGAAGCAAATAGACAGAGACAGAGCAAACGATAAACCCATGGATAGGCAAATATTTATAAAAGTATTACTCAACTAGTAAAAAAAAACGATAAATAAATGAAGGAAACATAATAAAAGAGATAGTAGCACAAAAAGAAAGCTCCAAAAGAATGGAGAACACTTTCACTTGATTTCTTTCTTCATCATCGCGTAGACTTAATCTAATTTTACAAAATACTAGTTTAGTTTTATTTCTAATCCGAATGTTTTAAAAGATTAAATAAATCTAAATGATTATGTTATCTAATTAATTGAAATTGAATCTTCATGGCAAGTTCATCTTATGTAAATGGTTGAAAATAGAATCCTATTGGAATTCAAGCTGCGATGCTGCACCGTTCAAAATCAAATTCTTAATAATTCGTACAAACAACGTAATAGTTTTGGACAGGAAGAGGCGGTAATGCACTTAAGCGTCGGATCATTTGCATTTTGATCATTTAAGAGCTTGTGGTAATTCCTGAAACAATTTACATCTCAATTGGGACGTGCAAATCACCGCTCAATTGAGGAACCCCTCAATCTGCGAGGGAAAGAGAGAGAGCAGCCAATTGAAAAACCGCCGCTCGGAAGGAGAACTTTCCCAGGAGCAAAAGGCGCATAATAATATGTAAGTTACGTAACTAAAAATAAATCTATATGCACAAGTTTCAAGCGTTGATAACAAAACTTTTCTGTTCTGCAGCAGAAAAGAGAAAATGTATAAACGAAAGAACGGAGGGAGCAAAGAACTGAATGAATAACAACAACAACAAGACTCGACTGCAAAAAATTGAATGAGTGAAGTTAAGTAAATGTGACTTACTATGATTTAGTTAAAGGTGTTAAAAGGGTGTTTTGTTAGCGAGGTTCAAGGGTTTTCGACGCTTCCCGTCTCTCGTAGTTGTTGGAATGTTGCGTGCGTATCTGACCGTGCGGCTACCACGAATTTGACTGACCTGAAGTGAGACGACGCCGCTCAAGTTAAATGCACTTAGACGCCCGACGACGAACGAATCCGTCCGAGCCGCGCATAATCATAGGACAATCATAGGGGGGAAACGTTACGCGAATTTTGTAGGTACGACTATTATAATTGCAATTAGTTATTACCAAAAGAAAGAAAAAAACACATTATTAAAATCATTTTTAAATTGGATACAAAAAGGCATTCGTTTTAAATATGAAAATGAACCAATTTTAGCTCTTATATTATATCCAATTATTATTAATGGTATAGAAAAAAATAAATGCAATACCCTTAAAAATATTTAAAGAAACAAACAAAACTTAAATTAGAACAAAAAAATAAAATGATAATGGCACAAGCGCTTAATTGGGAAAAAGATCGCAAAAGTAGATTAAAAAATAGTAAATTACTCGTTATTGTTGTTATTGTCTTCATCGAAATACAAAAATTAAACTAATTCTCGTTTTATTCAAATTATCGACAAAGTTTAAAAAAAGCTGGGGTGACTTGCACCATCCGTACCTGCGTATTTAAAATCGATAACATACAAATATTCTATTCTTTTATCAAGGATGATTAGGAACGAGTGATATTTTTTTGGAAATAATCGAAAATCATTCGAGTATAGCAAAATCAAACTTCTTCCTTCTTCCTGTTGCTTCTTATCAGAACAATAAGAAAGGCAACAGAAAATCGGTCGATAATAATAATACTTTGATACCTAAATCCGATGAGCGAACCACCGATGTTTTGTTTGCGACAGGATTTCCTTTGCTGCGGTCGCGAGCCGCAAAAGCGAACAAGAAAATTTCGAGAGCGAGGACAAAGAAAGAAGAAATATATACAAAAAATTTCGTGAAAATTCCCAAAAAATGATATAAATTAACACCAATAAATCATATACTTCTATAGTTTCTTAAGTATGAATTATTACACGTGACTTTTCGTGTCATATTTTGGGAATGAGGCCTCATTTTACACGAAAATAGTAGTATTATTAAAATAATCATATTAACTATAAATGCATTGTGTCAGTGAATTCAAGTAGGTAAAAAAAAACTGATAAACTGATGATAGATGAATTATCAATCCTAAAAAACAAATGAAAAACTTATTAATCTTATGACCTGAAGAAATTATAAAAAAATAAAGAGAAATAAGAACAAAGGAGAAAATCGCCAACGCATATGTCAGTTTCACAAAAATTTAATGACGATAAAAACATTTCGACTTTATTATTTGCAAAATTTCATTTGTATCGCGTATTCATTGATAATTTGCAATATTAGTAATGGACAATTTATACATTCGTAGATGATGAAGATGATACGACCAATACCAATTAAAGTTTATTAAGAATGTCCCACATTACAAGTAATTGGAACGCAATTGACGGATAATCGATCCAACTCTAACCGGAATTCACGGACACTCTTCTATCAAGTTACCATGCCAATAAGTACAGATACTAAAGGGCCCAAAATCAGCTATATTTGTATAATAGCCCATTTTACATAACGAGGATTTTAAAGTATAAGTAAACTGATTAAGATCGATCAATATGCCAGACATGTATTGTTCACTTTTGCTTCCAATTTGAATGACAAAAGGTTACGTAAACAAAACGATGATTGTATATTCGATATTCGGAAGTAATAATAATCTATGAAGAAGGCTAAACAGTAATAAATTGCAGATGCAATTGTCGAGGAGGCACTGTTTCAAAACGGCAGTTGTTTAAATAAAGCATAGTATGCGCTTGCAGAGAGGCTACGTGACGAAGGCAACGTGTACGATGATGGTTCGCAATTGCAGAAACACTCGCAAATCAAGAAGTAAAGTAACACTCGCAAATCGAGAAGTAAGATGATTTACAATTGTAGACTAGATGGATATTTTGTTTTAGATGGTTTTCCGATGGTCAGATGAAAGTGACGGAGAGCAGAGCCGGGCTGCAGGTTTTGTGAAACTTTGGCCCCAATTTTTTTTGCGCACGGTCTCCACGAACGAACGATGATATATTACCATCGATGGGCGCCCCGGGGCCCACGGGCCGTGTGCAAACCGAGTGCACAAGGAGCGCGGGCCGTGCGCAAAAATCCGTGTGTACCGATCGCTACACCTTGGCAACAAAAATTATCATTAAGTGTCTATGCGGTATTTTATCTGGCGGGTACAATTCGCGAGCGCTCGATCATCCAACCGACGGAATATTGAAATAGAGAAGAACCGAAGATACGAAATGGGCGTGACGAGGATGGAGCTCGGGAATTACGCAAACACAATGTTCGATTATTCGATTGTTGTGTGCGTGGAGGAGTGTGAAATATACAAAAATACCAGGAACAAAAAAAAAACAACGAAAACTTGTGATAAGATTACAAGGGGACCGCCCTCGCGTACACACGTCATCCAGAAATGGAAATTAGTGATCGAATTCCATTATATATATTTGTGTGTGTGTGTGTATTTGTGTGCGTGTGCATGAATTGTGCGGAATTGTTTAAACAATATTTCTTCAATTTCAATGGTGAATGCCTCCACCAATCAATTTTATTTTTTGTTCACAATGAGCGATTATTAGTCATGCGACAGAAGGCGGCGACGATTTTCCTATCGCGAAGCAAACGAAAACAAAGAAAATAAACAGCAATTTGCACTACCCAAGTACAAGTCGGCTCAAACGGATCAATTATAAATCTTGGAATGATGAAATAGTATTGTTTTTTTTTTCCTCTCAGCGTTATTTTCGGTAATCGGATCGCACCACAACTATTAACTTCGCGAGAACAATTCGAAAACTGAATTTCCATTTTCCGTATTATTTCGTTCTCTCCTTTACTTCGCTCTCTCCAAGGAGACAGCAATTTCTCTTGGAGGACGAATCCCCCGATGGATTGAGTTCGCATGTCTACAATAATTATTTATTATTTAGCCCTTGATAATAACATTCGAAAATAAACATCATCGAAATTTACAACTTGGTTACATATATTACAGTGGAACCTCGCTTAACGAGTTTAATCCGTTCCAAAATTTCCGGATTTTTACTCGTATACTGAAACATATTCAAAAATACACATAATATGTGTACATAAGTTTTAAAAATGATAAAGAAGGCGCGCAATCCAGGACTAGCCATTTTTCGAGGTTCCACTCAATTCCTCAATTTACACGATAGATATGATCCTGAAAAAAGCGTGCAAAAGAAAACACAGAATTCATACAACATAGAAGGATATGTTCAATTAATAATATAAAACGAAAATGCTTGGTCTCTCGATAGATTTTGTATACTCAAGTTATATCGAAACTTATCAATTTCAAAATGCAATTCATAATTTCGCAATCTGCATAAAACAAAGTCGAAAAGATTTCAAGCATTGAGGAATTTGCTAACCTAGGTAAATAATTTTCATTGCAGTTTTTTTGTATACTTCGAAAAACTGTGTGTTATACAAGTGGCACAATAAACTACTAGCTTTATTATTGATGATTTAATAGTAATTCTTTGAAAAGGTCGCACCCTATACCTGCATTAAAATTTAGTATTAATTTGGGTTAAATAGAACAATAATGATAAAAATAATAAAATTGTAAAAAAGACTCCCTACGATAATAAAATAAAAGTTAATTGCTGTAAAGTGCTATTGCCCTCTATAGAACCTAATTCCAAGTATAATAAAATGATGAAGTTTCAATTCTAGCTAAATTTATAAAATATTCCACATGATTAAGTTTTTGTAATCAGAATCTTTTCGTATTAGATTTTTGTTTAAAAACAAACCAAAACATGTTCAATCGAAATGGAAAAACCTTGATTCGAGGCAAGGTCAGAGAGATACATATGCGGTTTCATTGCGTAAACGTATCTACTAATCGAAAGAAACTTCGGTTTTTTGCAGATACATCGAACGTAATGATTTCATAAACTCCAATCGACTCTTTTATTATTCCGTTCTCTTTATATACAATGCAATCAGTGGTAACAACGCTTAACTTGAATAATATGCTCCGGAATTCGAGTCGGCTGCCAAAAAACAAATCGGATGTTAAACTTTCATAACATTTACGTCATCCGAACGAGAGTAATTTAGGAGGGTGAATCGACCTTGATTACATTGCACAAGACAGGCACGAGTGTATTTTCATTTTAACAACAAATAATTAATATAACATGTCCCACTTCTAAACCCTTAAATGTCCCAAGTATCAAATTTTAAATCGAATTGTACACTTGGTATCTTTTTAATATTTGGTTGTATGTATGTTACCATTACATGAACAAATTTGAGTTGAGCAACGTTTTCGATGGATTTGCTTACAGGGACAAAAATGAAAAAATCTATTAAAACAGAAAGATGTATTAATAGGAATAAAACAATAGCTCTGTTGATGTAAGTTTCTTGGATAAATTGGTAATATTTTTTTAAAAAATTGTCCCCGTTCATATCTCGCGACATAAAAATTGCCGCTATCTTTGAAGTGCGACAGCTATTAATAGATTGCATGATATACGCGTTTTATACAATAAATGTGTCGTTCCTAAATCATCTCTATCGCTGCATAAGTGGGAAAATACACGCAAAGAAAATTCTTTAGTAAAATTGAGAAAAAATATGTTCCAAAGACACATTTCTAACAGTATCAAAATTAACTGAATACGATTTAAATTTAAATTTAACTTATTATTACAGTGTTGAAGCAAACCCGTCCAAAATTATGCATCAACTCAACTTATTTCGCAACATCATAAATATTGTTATTGTTTGTTATTTTTAACGCGGAATATTTTGCAATTAGTTTCCAATTTGAATTTTTATCGCCGTGTTATGTTGCATATCGTTTATTAATTCTGTATAATTATAGAAGAGGAGACAAAGCTACATGTTCGTATGGCACACGTTTATGATTCAGACGATCTCAAATTACTTCAAACAATTCCAATTTCATTTCCGCTCGTATCATATGGATACATAAAAAAAACAGACGCTATTAAGTGCACTTATCTGTATTGCATTTATGCACTAATGAGAACGTCAAGTCGACTTTGCAACAAATTTCCTCTTATCGCAAACAAAACATAAATAAGTATCAAACGTACATCGTTTTTTCGTTGTTTTATCTAATTTATGGCAAAGTAAGCAGAAATATGTCTCAAAGTTGTTAAACAAAACCGTAAACAGTACATATATTTAGCGATAGCAAAAATTTATTATTAGGAAATTGCATTTAAAACAAAATAAATAAGGTAAAAGTAATTGTAAAACGCGACCGACACAGTTCCTGAATTGACGAATTCTTAAGGCCAACAGCCTTTTCCTTTTTAGAAAGCAAAAATATGCTCTAATAACTCTATTTAACTGTAAAGTCATCCACAAAATAAAATTAATTTGTAACGTGCCATTGAAATATTCGTGCTGACGCTTATTTAAACAAAAAAAAAATAATATGAAAAGCATCACGACCGCAACCGTGCGGTGATAATGTGGCAAAAACCTTGACTCCACAAAGATAGATACGAATCAAATGAATATTATATAAATATATATCTGTATGTACCAATAGACCAAACAATTAGTAGTGTGCAATATCCTTGAATCTATAGCTGGTAACTATTTTGTTATTATTAACAGTATGCTTTCTTTAAATAACCCAATAATTATCCGACATGGCATGCCACACTATTTGCAGCCAGAGCATTTCAATTCTCCCATCATGCAATTGCTGCAGATAAGATCACCAGAACAACAGTTTATAAATTATGATAAATAATTTGTTGAAAAATTCATCTCATCTCTGCAAACCAGATAATTATGCTAACATATATAAACTGACCTTAAATTCAGTGTGGGAGGCCCAACCGGGAGTCTTATTCTCAATAAGATAAAAGAGAGCTCGAAATCGAACGTTAGCTCTTGCGTTCCAGATACTTTCACTGCCTTTTGCTGGTCTTATTCCAAATTCCTCAAGAGCAACAGCGACAGGACGAGTTGTTAAATAACAAGAAAACGTCAGATTCGTGACGTTCTAGGTTAGTTGGACTTTACGTGCACGCAAGTTGCATATGCATGAGATCGAAGGGATTACTGGTTGCATAATTCAGGATCCTCATCGATCTGAAATATTATTGGTCATTAGTTGTATTGCATTATTATCGCTTTTATCTACAAGTCAGTGGACAATAAATTTTTAATCTTACACTCACTGCAGCAGCTTATAATTATTGCAATTTCCTGCAAATTAATTATCAGCATTATTAGCAACATTTGCTTATAATGATATTTTATGACCCTACATTTCATATATTTAATTTAATATTATTTCAGGCAAAATATGCATTTAATGATGCAACTGAAAGTATTAATTTTGGGAATTAAATAAAAGTGAAAGTTTTTTTTTATTAAGGTTCGTAAAGATTCAGGTAATTTTGACCATTGTATTCTTTTTATTGGTATGCAATAAATAACTATTAATATTTACTATGTTAATCTATTTCCAAGAACAATATTTTATTGCATATATATAAATATACAATATTGATTCTAGGAACATTGAAACAAATAGTATATGCGTATTTAATGATATCATGTAATTAACTAGCAAATAATTAAAACTGACCAAAGTCATTAATTAAGATTTCAACTTTTGGGAAGTTAATTAATTTAAAAAGTAACCTGCGATCTACGCTGGGGCCATCCGAATGGTGACGTCCACCGGAGACATGTTTCTCTCTTGAGACACATTTCTCTCTTGAGATACGTCCATCACAATTTCGTCTTCTTCCTCTTCGTCGTGAGTCTCAGACTCGTCGTCATCATCGTCATTGTCGTCTTCGTCCTCTTCTTCCTCCTCATCCTCCAAATTCTGCAATTAAAAAAAAATATTTTTTTTTTTTTGCATTTGTACACAAACGTAAAGATGTTACCTCGGAAGCCGATTTTCCGATCGGAATTAAATCGCTGTTCCATTGCGATATGGCATTTCTCTACAAAGAAATAAAATGATTAGTATCAAAATCTATATATCCACAACAGTATAAAACAAATGATAATCTAAGAGCTTACCAATGTTATAACAAACGATAAACAATTGTAATGAATTTAGCAATATTATTATTAATTTATATCAAAATAGTTTTTACCCAAGCCTGATGTTCCTTCTCCAATTCAGCTACTTCAGTCTCATCATCGCAGGGCTGATCAACATTGAACCAGGCAGTGTCAACCATGTTTGGGTTTAGAGTCGGAAATCTGGGAAACATTCTGGTGCAGAACCTCTTGGGGGATAGCACAGGAAACCTGAAATATACTTTAAATTAATGAACGAACTAACGTGAACTTATTGCACTTACGGAAAAAGTTCAATCAATCGAATCAATCTCTCTCACTATTGAATGAATTGAATCTTCTATTTTTTTTTGTTTACAAACAGCTGAGGATAGGTAACGGTAACATAATAGCCAACTTTCAATTACGAAATATCCCTACTACTCATTTCAAATTTGAATTAAAAAAACTGAATGAATCTCATGAAACTATTTATTAGTATTCATAATTGACATTAATTGATACAGATGATGATCAAACTCTTGGGGAATAAGGTTGTTCCAATTCTTCGACATCTTCTATAATATCTTCATCGTCGCTTTCCTCCTCATCGTCTTCTTCATCCTGCTCATCCTCCAATTCAACGACATCGATGAATTCTTCCTCCTCTTCAATGTTGTTCAAATTGTTATCCTCATCGTTGACCCTCGTATCATCTGCTGGTTCATCCTGCTTCTCGAAGGCGTTGTTCAGAGGAAGACCGATTGGCACCAGGTCGCTGTGCCAGTTTTTAATGTTATTTCTCTGAAACAAACATAATTCCTTCATACAAAAACAATTGTACAATTTGGTTGCGTAACTTACCCATTTCAATAGTTTATTTTCCATTTTATAAAGTTCCGATTCGTCGTCGCAGGGAAGGTCCACGTTGAACCAGGCCGTATCGACAGGGCTCGGATTTAAGTTTGGAAACAGTGGGAGCATTATTCAAGATGTACGAATTGTCGTGCGTGTCTCAAAGAATTGATTTAATTTCGATATTTTGTTCATTTTTGCTATTTTTTGTATACTATCAGATCAAAAAATTATAGATCAATAAAAAGAAGTTAATCCGAAAATGAACTAAATCTTTCTTATTACTAGAAACTATTCTTCTTCAATATATTCTTCAACTGTACTAATAAACTATATTGATTTTAATATGTATCTCTAATTTATAGATTTTATTTCTAGTTTTATGTATAGAACAACTATAATATGTATTAAATAACTGTTAATGAAATCTCAATTTCATTTTGAAATTATCAAAACTATCAAAGTGATGTTTAGGCAACCCAATGCACGTTTAGATCATGGGTTGGTAGACATGCATGTTTGTGGAAGTGAAGCCATTTTTTTTGTTGGTTATATAGTATTTATTATTGTGGTTTATGATGGATGAGAGGTATAAGGGTTGCAAGGTGAATTGAGGACCAGTAGTGACCAGTAGCAGGTTGTTGAAACTTAGAGCGATGTCGGGTTCAATAGAAATACCACTCCGTGATACGGACGAGGTAAGATATTCGCAGATTAAATATTTTCACCTGTTACGTTAATGTTTTCCCTATTTGTAGGTTATAGAGTTGTATCTGGACCAGTTGCCCGATGGAGAAGAGGTCCTGGGTATTTTGCGGCAAGAGCACGCCCAGCTCAATCTCTGGGTCAACCTTGCTGTGGAGTACTACAAGCAGCACAAGATCCAGGATTTCATCAAAATTCTGGAGGAATCCAAGAATGATGCAAATGTTATGTACAGAGATTATGAGAAGGATCAGATGCGAGCACTTGATATGCTTGCTGCATATTATGTGCAGGAAGCAAACAGGGAGAAAAACAAGGATAAGAAGAGGGAACTTTTCACTAAGGCCACTTTACTGTATACAACAGCAGATAAGATTATTATGTATGATCAGGTAAGTCAATTGAATGTGTGATTTAATTGCAAGTTTATTTAATAATATTATGTTTTCAGAATCATTTACTGGGCAGGGCATATTTCTGCCTCCTTGAAGGTGATAAAATGGACCAGGCTGATGCGCAATTCAATTTTGTGCTGAATCAGTCTCCAAATAATATACCTTCCTTGTTAGGTAAAGCTTGCATTGCATACAATAAGAAGGATTACAGGGGAGCATTAGCGTTTTATAAGAAAGCCTTGAGGACGAATCCCAATTGCCCAGCTGCAGTTCGTCTCGGAATGGGTCACTGTTTCATGAAGTTGAACAATCCGGATAAGGCGAGATTAGCCTTCGAGAGGGCCCTCCAATTAGATCCGCAGTGTGTCGGTGCACTTGTCGGTTTAGCGATATTGCGTTTGAATCTGCAGCAACCGGATTCCATTAGGCAGGGCGTCAATATGTTATCGAAAGCCTACACGATCGATTCCTCCAATCCAATGGTTTTGAATCACCTGGCGAACCATTTCTTCTTCAAGAAAGATTACAACAAGGTTCAGCATTTAGCTCTGCACGCTTTTCACAACACCGAAAATGAGGCGATGAGAGCGGAGAGTTGCTACCAGATGGCAAGGGCCTACCACGTCCAGGGTGATTACGATCAAGCCTTTCAATATTACTATCAGGCCACGCAGTTTGCGCCGACCGCTTTCGTTCTTCCGCACTTCGGTTTAGGACAAATGTACATTTATCGTGGAGATTCCGAGAACGTAAGTTTGATTATTTTGATATATTCATTACGAATCGAAAATTTATTGTTTTATAATCATTTCAGGCGGCTCAATGTTTTGAGAAAGTGCTGAAGGCGCAGCCCGGCAACTACGAGACGATGAAGATCTTGGGTTCGCTTTATGCGAATTCCACTTCGCAATCGAAGCGTGACATTGCGAAGAGTCATTTGAAGAAGGTGACGGAGCAGTTCCCCGATGACATCGAAGCGTGGATTGAGCTGGCTCAAATTCTCGAGCAGTCCGATCTACAAGGTTCGCTGAGCGCGTACGGAACTGCGATAAAGATATTAAAGAAGGACGTACAATCCGAGATACCCACAGAGATCCTTAATAACGTGGGTTCTCTGCACTACCGGTTGGGTAACCTGGAGGAGGCCAAAAGGTATTTGGAAGAGGCTCTGGCGAGGGCGAAATCCGAAGCCGAGCACGATCCGCAATACTACAACTCAATCTCGGTGACGAGCACGTACAATCTGGCCAGATTAAACGAGTCGCTGTGCCTATTCGACAAGTCCGAGAAGCTGTACAAGGATATCATCAAGGAGCATCCCAATTACGTCGATTGCTATTTGCGTCTGGGTTGCATGGCCAGAGATAAAGGGCAGATTTACGAGGCTTCCGATTGGTTTAAAGAGGCTCTGAAGATTAACACTGAGCATCCGAATGCTTGGTCGCTTCTGGGTAACCTGCATTTGGCTAAGAACGAATGGGGGCCGGGACAGAAGAAGTTCGAGCGCGTCTTAAAGAATCCGGCGACTTCGCAAGATTCGTACTCGCTGATTGCGTCGGGAAATGTATGGTTGCAGACTTTGTATCAGGCGTCCAAAGATAAGGATAGAGAGAAGCGCCATCAGGAGAGAGCTTTGATGCTGTACAAGCAAGTGTTGAAATTTGATCCTAGGAACATCTGGGCAGCCAATGGAATCGGAGCTGTACTTGCTCACAAAGGCACGGTGAACGAGGCCAGGGATATTTTTGCGCAAGTTCGTGAAGCCACCGCAGACTTTTGCGATGTTTGGTTGAATATTGCGCACATTTACGTGGAACAGAAGCAGTTCGTCAGCGCCATCCAAATGGTAATTATTATAGTTAACATTTATGTTGTGCATTTATTAATGTTTTGTATTTTTAAAATTTCAGTACGAGAATTGTTTGAGAAAATTCTTCCAGTACAATAACGTCGAAGTGATGCAGTATTTAGCGCGCGCCTACTTCAAAGCGAACAAGCTTAAGGAGGCTAAAATGGTATTGCTGAGGGCTCGCAGAGTGGCTCCCCAAGACACCGTTCTTCTGTACAACGTGGCACTGGTTCTGCAGCGTTTGGCCACGCAAATTCTGAAGGACGAGAAATCGACGCTTACCACCGTTTTGCAGGCCGTTCACGAGTTGGGGCTGTCGCTTAAGTATTTCGCTTATTTAGCCGAACTCGGTGACCGCATGAGATATGATGTCACTCTTGCCGAATTGGAGCGCAAGCAATGTCAAGATCTGCTCTCTCAGGCCCAATATCACGTAGCAAGAGCCAGAAGGGTTGATGAGGAGGAGAGGTTGCTCCGCAAGAAGCAGTCCGACGAGAGAACGGCCTTCAAATTGCGACAGTTGGAGGAGCAAAAGAAACTCGAGGAGGAGAAGAAGGCCACCGAAGTACAGATGTTGCAGAAGAGGCAAGAGTACAAGGAGAAAACGAAGAATGCCCTCGTATTCACCGATATGCCGAACGAGAAATCGTCGAAGGGAAAAGGCCGCAGTCGCAAAGATATGTACGTCAGCGATTCAGGCAGCGATGCGGAGAACGCTGGAGGTGAATCCAGGGAACGTCCGTCGAAGAGGAGGAAGAGAAGCGGTGACAGGAAAGAACGCAAAAAGGGAGGCGGTAGGAAACGCAAAGATCGCTCCAATGTATCAGACTCTGATAGCGGCGATGGCAAACGGAAAAAGAGGAGCAGGAAGAAGGATTACAAAAAGAGCATCGACGACGGGCTCAGTGCCAAACAGAAGAGTCGCATTGTATCGAAGGCGACGATTTCTACCAGTGAGGACGATAGTGACGATGAGAAATTGAAGATCGCCAGCGGCGATGAGAGCGCCGGCAGCGGCGGAGATGGTAAGAAAAGGAAGAGGCGCATCTCGTCCGGTTCCAGCCGTTCACCATCGAGATCCAGGAGTCGCTCCAAGTCCAGATCGAGGAGCAGATCCAAATCTAGGAGTCGCTCTAAATCCAGATCGAGATCAAAGTCGAACTCCAGATCGAGGAGTCGTTCGAAGTCTGGAAGCAGATCTAAGTCTAGGAGCAGATCCAAGTCCAGAAGTAGATCTAAATCCAGGAGTCGGTCGAAATCTGGTAGCCGTTCAAAGTCCAGAAGTCGCTCAAAATCTGGAAGCAGATCGAGATCTCGCAGTCTATCCAGGTCGAGGAGCAGATCAAAGTCTGGAAGTCGTTCGAAATCTAGGAGTCGTTCAAAATCAAAGAGTCGCTCAAGAAGCAGGTCCAAGTCGCATTCGCGAAGCTCTAGATCTCCTTCCACGTGAACATAAGAGATGGCATATTTTAAAGACTTGTATCATTTACTACTTACATAGCAATCTGTTTTCATTTTTTTATTTTAAGATATTGATTTGTTATTTGATTAATTTGAATATTTGGTATTCATTTGTTGCAATTAGAAGAACGAAACCGTACATTTATAATTTAAATATTGCAATTATTTCCAATTACACCCACCAATATTATGTATTTAATATGTTGTGCTGTAAATTATTAATTCTATTCGTAATGTGAAAAGAACGACGATAAAATGGAGAAGAAAAACAAATAAATAAATATTAATTATTTTTTTTAGATTTTTTTTATTTTTTTTAAATGGAAATTCCTGTCCAAACGTAATGTTCATCCAGGTTGATTTAGGCTTGTTTCTGGTTGAATTCCTTAGCCTTAGCACGTTCTAACTTAGCAATACGGGCCGCAGATTTGGAGCCCAAAAGACCACCACCCCAGTGACGCCTGATCTCCTCTGACCTATCGTTGAAGTTGGTCTTGACGGCCTCGAGCAATTTGTTGAAGGCAGCCTTGTCTCCGCTTTCAACCTGAAAAAATAAATGGAAGATTAGTGACCGAGGAATAACGCTTACATAAAATATTGTCAGAAGGACGTTATTTTAATCAGGTTTAAAAAGCTCGATGATTTTGTATTCAACATATTTGAATTCTGGCAGTTTTGCTCATCATGTAAAGAAAGTTTTAAAGTCTGTTGTAATAGTAAAAAGTAAATTTACCTGGGTCAAAGCGACGCACGAGCAGGTCTTGCGCCTGACGAGCAGTCCCAAACGGGCCTTGTTTTTGACGATGCAGTATGGGACACCCATTTTCCTGCAGAGGGCTGGGAGGAAGATGACCAGCTGCAAAATAAAAAAAACAATTAGTAAATATTCATAATCTCTGAGTAAATAACAATAATTGCATGAATTGGAAAGCTCAGAGTCAAGTGTCTTCAGACGATAAACATTCTAAATTTTGATGGATACCTCAGGTGAAGAAATTCATAACATCATTGCAATTAAATTAACAAAGTACTAAATGAATAAAAAAAACAATGGATCTCAGAATATACCTCAATTGGGTCAACATCGTGGGCGATGACGACGAGTTGAGCTTTCTTCTGCTCGATGAGGGTGGTGACGGTGTTGGCGCCAGCACGAACGACATTCGGGCGTTTGGTTGGGGCGTCTTCCTTCTTGGCCACCTTGGCTTCGGCTTTAGCCTGCAGCCTCTTCTTCTTTTGCAGAGCAGATTCTGGCTTGTATTTGCTCAACAGTTTGAACACAGAGGTGGCTGTGTTCTTGTCCAAGGTCTGTGTGAACTGGTTGATTGGTGGTGGGACCTTCAATCTCTTTTGCAGCACAGCCTTTTGCCTTTGAATGCGGATGTACTTTGGCCATTTAACGAACCTGGACAGGTCACGAACGGGTTGCACATCTTGGCCTATAATAGAAAACCAAACAATTAATAACAAATCAAAACATTTGCACAATAGATTTTTTTTTCATTGAATTTAATCAGTTTTAAAAAGCTCGTATATTTGTAAATCAACATAGTTAGATTCAGTTAAAATAATCATCATTTAAATTATTACTCCAGTAAATATATTACAATCACATAAAGCCATGAAACTTACCAATGCCAAAGTTGCGTGGCCTCTTTTCGAAGAGTGGGTTTACAATCTTCTTTGGCTCAACTTTCTTGACTTCCAAAGGAGCGGCTGCTACCTTCTTGCCAGTCTTCTTCTTGGGCTACAATTAAAAAAACATCTCATAAATTCACTAATAACATATTAAATCTTAATGTTAACAAATTGATGAAATTTCATATACTTAGACTTGCCAGACTCACCTTTATAATGCATCAACTATTTGCATCTTTTATGTTTACATTGCAAGGAAACTATTCCAACTGATTTTTGTTTTCACAAATAATAATCTGGCTAGTCTAAGCACATGTTTAGTACTTATGAAAGTAGTATTTTTTAACTGTCGCTTCGAATAGTAACGATTGGAACATGGAATGATCCAACCGGGGTAAGATAAAGCCTTTGTTCTACCATTCTATACATAAGATTGCAGATAGTTCGAGCAATCCGAAATGTATCGATGGAAATTAGAGTCGAAGTTTCGTGCCGAAGGGAAAATGCGTTTGTTATTGGGCGCATAACCTACAAACCTTTCAATGTGTTTGATGTTGGAAATTTACAAGTTAAATCTTATTGTACATCGAGAAAACAAATCTTATTCAACAATTAGAGCAGGCAAATTAGATTTAAGACAAAGTAAAGTTACTGGCGACGGACTAGAAACGTAAACACGACTTATGGTTGTAAGCAAGACCCGTGTATTTTCTAAGTGGATTTTCGGCAAAAAACTTCGGCGGAATCGCGTAAATAAACATGCGAGCATTAATAAAAATGTACTTACTTTCTTTTGAACCATTTTCACTTGCGTATTTCAACGGATGCCTTGGATAAACAAGGTTTTATGCTAACATTCAATAGTACGGTCGGAGCTGATGGCGACCGGACCTGAAAAAGGACGCACGTCAAGATGTAGCGCTGTGAGGTGGACTTGCCAACCATCGGCATGCGCGCGCCCGCCAAATTCAAAATACCTCAGCTTATGTAACCAACGTAGCAGCAAAGCAAAGTTATAGTATTTGGTTGCGATGGAAATTTGATGGGATATAGTTATTAAAATTTTGCATACGGTAACACAGACTGGCACGGCTTTTATATAAATGGGATTCGCATTTGGCATGTATCATTTGCATTAAAGCAAGCTGCACGCAACGAAAAAGTCAACGTTTTGTCGATCAGAGAGCACCCCAATGCCAAATTCAGACGTCGCGACGTCGCTGCTGGGAGCTGCTTGGAACTTTGGACACGCGTAAATTCGAAAACCGAAATGGATCAAAACACATTGTGAGTAAAATCGACCATTAAAAAACGAACACGTTCATGCAGTGGATCTCATAAAGTTGTTAATTTCAGCGACGAAAGGACATTTGCAGGAATCCTTAAGACTATTCTGCTGGTAAGTTGATTCTGCGATGAATAGATATAATAGGTAATCGGTAATTTGGATCAGTTTTTAGAAAATTACAATTTCGCGGAGACGTCGCAATGCTTTGCGAATGAGATCAAAACAAGATGCAAGAATCAGGAGTTCGATGATATCGTTCCGAGGACTTTGGTCTTGAAGCGACTGTCCGGGGAGCTGGACAAGATCGTCGTCACCGTCACCGATAGCAACGAGGAGAAGACACTCAAGGTGCACAGACTTTGTGACGTCTGTTCCAAGGATAAGAAAGTCTCGAATGTGGAAGGTTAATTCTTGCACATTTTTTTTTCCCGGCTTATATAACCTGATTCAAATATAGAAATGTTTCCAGTTATATACAATTTTCTATTCTTCTCCCTTTTCAATTTTCAGATGTTGAACTCTTAACCGAGACGCTCAACAAACTAAAGGATGAACATTTAAAATTAATCAGTAAATATTGTTTATTGGTTTCTGTAAGCAATTTGTATTAATGAATTGTTTTTGTTTGTTTCTTCTTTTTTTTTTGGGGTAGATATTGCGACGCAGTTTGGATCAATTCTGGGTCTGAGTGAGGATAAGGGTGTGTGCGCTCGCTGCGAAACACCGGATGCAGTCAAATCGTGCAAGAAATGCAAAGAGGGTAAAAGCGGCAACGAAGGAGAAGAATCGGAGAACTTTATTCCTCTGGAGACGAAGCAAGTGAGCAAGGATATTCCAGCTGAGATGAGCATGCCGCTGTTGCAGATGGAGGAGAAGGATTCGATGATCAGTTCTCTGCACGAAGAATTGAAGTCGCTGATAATGAATAGCGTGATGTCCGCTGCTGTATTAGCTGATGAAGCTGCCGGTTCGAAGAGCGATCCGACACCGTGCGCTGATGACGAGACCGAAGTCACCGATTCCCAATCAACGCCGCAAGAAATGTTGGATGTTCCGTATTACGACTCTCCGAGGAGGTCCAGCAAGAGTCCGAAAGGAGGAAGTCGCACATCTTCGCCACGTAAATCAGGCTCCAGGTCGCCGTCTAAGAGTTCTTCGCCGAATCTGTCGACTTCCAAGTCGACGCCTTCACCAGGTCTGCAATCGCCGACGAAGAAGTCTTCGTCTTTGGTGCATTCCCCGAAGAAGTCTAAGGTGAAGTGTTGCCCGAATCCGAAATGCGAGAACCCGAATGCCCTCACCACCGTAGAAGAGTTCAATCACTCGGGCGGTTCACCTAGCGATTCCATGAACAATCTGCTTCACAATGTGGACTACAGCAAAACTTGTTCGAGATTGATCATGCAGGCAAAATCCTTGCAGATGCCCAACCATCCATCAATCACCGATTCGCTGGCATTAGACGACTTCCCTTACAATCCAGACTGCAATTGCGATTTCACCCAGAACGTGTCTGCATTCCAGGGAATTGATCGTGCCGAAAAAGACGAGAGCTCCTCACCGCGCCGATCCTCGCCGACCAAACAATCACCATCAAATCTTTCCTCTCCATCGAATGAAGCAGGATCACCGCGTCGCTCCACATCCAAATCACCCACGAAGTTGTCGACCAGAGGAGATTCGTCTGCGAAGATGTCATCAGCGGATTCGCCCGCGAGGACGTCGAAGCAGACGTGCTGCGATAATCCGAACTGCGAGAATCCCACTGCAACTCGCATCCCATCTACGGACTTGGAAAACGTGAAGTCGATGATCAAGGCTTGCAGCCGTTCCAAGAGCATGATGATTCAATCGCAAATGTCCGATTTGGAGGGTGTAGTCTTCAATATGGAGTGCAAGTGCGATTATACGCCCGTCTCATCTCCAATTGGAAACGAAGCACAATCACCGCGTCGCTCCACATCTAAATCACCCACGAAGTTGTCGACCGGAGGAGATTCGTCGTCTGTGAAGATGTCATCAGCAGATTCACCCGCGAGGACGTCGAAGCAGACGTGCTGCAAGCATCCGAAATGCGAGAACCCCGAAGCCGACCTTGGTAATTTGGATCCTGACAACGTTCTTGGTTTGAAGGAGATGCTGAAGTCGTGTAGTCGCTCCAAAAGCACAATGTTACAAAAGTCCATACTCTTCGACGAGGCGGTTTTCAATGCGAACTGCAAGTGTGATTATTCACCGTTCGGATCCTCATCGAAGATCGAGGAGGAAGCGTATGAGGATGAGGAATCGCAGGATCAATCATCGCCAATGAAAATTTCTTCGAACTCTAGCAAATCGAAACAGGTGCGGAGAGTTGTTGATGTCGTATTTGGTATTTTATTGTAACGAAATGCTTTGCAGATTTGCTGTCAGCATCCGGAATGTGAGGATCCAGAAGCGGCGTATCTTGCGACCATCACGCAGTTGGACCCTGATAACGTGTTGGGTTTGGAGGAGATGGTGAAGATATGCAGTAGATCTAGAAGCATCATGAAGAAGACCGGAGTGCCGCTGGAGGAAACGCCGTACAATCCGGACTGCAAATGCGATTCAAGATTACGAGATACGGAGGATGGAGATGTCGAGGTAATGTCTTCGTCTCGAATAAATAAGAAGCAGACTTGCTGCCGCTATAAGAGCTGTAAGAGGAAGCCTGATATGTATACCGTCACGGAGCAAAATTTACTTAGTGAACTTCATACCAAAGTCTGCAAATGCGATTGCGACGAATCGAATACGGACCTTCTCAGGAATCAATTGGCCAGAAGGACTACTTCATTAGAAAATCTTTTATCTGACCAATTTTCCTCGCAGAATGAGACGACATCTCCACCATCAACGTCACCATCACCTGCGTCTTCGCCCAAGAAAATGTCCTCGCAGAATGTATCGTCACCCATGAAGATGTCCGCATCGCCCACGAAGATATCTTCAACACATTCATCGGCACACTCATCTCCAACACGAATGTCGCCAACCAAGATTTCATCGTCCGCGCTTCCATCGCCATCCAAGACGCCTTCACCAGTCGCTTCGTCACCTGCAAAGTCAGTCTCCCCGGTTCTGGCGTCACCAACGAAGATGTCTTCGCCAACAGTGACCTCTCCAACCAAACTTTCATCGCAAGTTATTGCGGAGATAGCCGTGCAAAAGTGCTGCGTGAATCCGGAGTTTGCGAGTCAAGCACACCTAATGATGGAGATAGATCCTAAGAAAATGATCACCCTTGAGTCGATGATGAAGAGCTGCAAGAATTACATGTCGAAGACGTTAGGACTCAACCAGGACGGTACACCGTTTAATGCAGAATGCAAATGTGATCTCATCGAAGCATTAAAACTCGATGCCAGTCAAATTGAAGCGACGACTTCGAACGCCGATGAAGAAGTTTCTCAATGCGATTCTGAAATGCAGCAGCCAGAAGAAACGCAGTCACCAGTTAAAGAAGGTCCTCTTTTTTTTTAACCATTGGAAGCAATCAATATGAAATTCACGTGTCATGTTTGTATGTATGTTTCAGTATCGAAGAGGTCGTTGAACAATGATGCGTCAAGGAAGTCGTCAAAGTCGGAGAGCAGTAGTAAATCATCAAAATCGAAAGTCGCCAGTTCACAAATGTCAAAATTGAATTCGATGTCGTCGCCGCGCAAGAACTCCGCTCTAAACGAGAACGGCGAAACGGATCGTGGTTCAAGATCGCAAAGCGGAAGTTCGAGGGAACGTGTCAAGTCGAGTGAGGGTGGCAAGAGGCGATCGTCGCACGGTGGAAGTGGTGGTGGAGGCAGCGCAACGGATAGAACGATGTCGAACGCGATAAAGAAGTTGGAGAGTTTGACGGAGGAGGAGGCGGGTGAAGGTGATCAGCCTGGAGGATACTTTCGATTGGATTACGATCTGATTAAGAAGGACTTGAAGGAGGGAAAGAGCCTTAAGAAGCTGGGACTGCTGCAAGCGCTCAGATGGGTAAAGCAAAATAAGTTATTCCTTATAAAAATGCGATTTATTCATTATTCTTCCCCAAAAGAGATTGACAAAATCGGACAGGGAGGTGCGCGACGAAGTTCTGGCCAAGTACACGAAGAACGACATCCTCGACTTGGCTGATTCTAATTTCAAATTGACCGGAGACTTTTTGCATCTGACAGGCATTTGCAAGGGTTTAGAGAAGACGTACCAGGAAGAGATGGCCAGATTCGTGAACTGCTTGGCCTCGACAAACGTCGGCCGAAAATATCTTATGAAGAATCCCAATTTTCTCGCAGATATCATGCTGCCGATGCTCATAACGAAGATTTACGATCCGATAACACGTTTCACCAAAGACTTTATTTTGGCCATCATACAGAAGCTCTCTGTTAATAGCGATGTCAGGAAAGTGTTGCTGAATGACGGTATGGATGGCGATGGACTAATTTTGCTTTTAATTATTTTTTTCTATGTTTGTTTTGTATTAGGTATCTTGGATTGGCTTGTCGATTACATCATCGATAATCACGCTACATTGAACAATTACTCTGCGGATTATTCGACCGCGTTGCTTGCAAATATGTGCTTGGAGGAGGAGGCTCGTTCGACTTTTATCAGCATGGATAAGGAGAAGATCTTCAAGATGCTGCAGGTCCTGGTGGAGACGCCGCACGAGTGCTGCGTTCCGTATCTGAACGCAATCTTCTACAGTCTCCTCGGCAAAAGGGAAATCAACACGTACGCAATGGACAACTACTTGACGCCGGCTCTGGTCCGTCTGAGTTCGGTAAATAGAGTTTAATTTTCTTTGGAACCACGAATCTCCCCCATTTGGTTTTTACGTGTTCTTTTATAAGAGAATGTCAGATGACGAGAGCCGAAACCAGCTGAAGATGATCATACAGGTGCACACTTCCATAAGTTTCGTGGAGGTCTCGATGAATGACCTCGCCGCCCCCGACGAGCAGGTACAAGCGGACAGTCTGGAGAAGGAGCTGGAGATGAACGATCCGGTGACCTTGGATCCGAGCGGTGAAGAATTCCTGCTACCCTACAAGACGCGGAAAAGTATATAGATGGGGACGTTGCGCTGTATTTATTAGGGAAATTGTGAATTTCATTTTAGCCAGTGTCCGCAACACATTTATGAGTGACTCTGGAATAACGGATTCAAAATTATCAGCATCCAAATTCGGAACTGCTGGTGACGGTGGAGGTGGCGGCGGTTTTGGCCACTGCGACATGCCCTGCCCTGGCTTCGCCGCTGCATCGGCAGCAGCAGGAAGAGATTGCGATGGCAATATATTATCGGGTGGTAAAAATGGCAGTAGGAGGAGTCGAAGCAAGGGAGGACGTCACGGAGATCGGTCGAGATCCCAATCGGGAAGCAGTGATCGTTCAAAGAAGAGAACCAAGAAGAACGATGGACTCTCCATAGGTCTGGAGAATACTGCGTGCATCAAGAAAGCTATAGAATTAGATAGTGGAGGCAAGACTATCAAGTGCACATATGATCCGTGCAAGTTCGATTGCTACGACTTTTACTACTGCGACCCAATGATGAACATTTGCCAGCGGCAAAATTTCAGTTGCGATTGTTACAGCAACATTCAGGATTTCATCAGTGATGATTCGAGGATGTGCCCTACGCCCGAAAGGTAACAATCATTTGCATTTATCTCCAATTTTGTCAAATATAAAATTTTGTTTTTCTGCAGAAATTGTACTATGTTCTGCAGCGACGACTGCAACCGAAGTAGTTTGTTTAATAATTGCAACAACTGCAATTACCCAGGATTCTAGTCAATCATTCCGAAAATTGTAGTCGTGTAGAATAAGAAGTAATAATAACGGTAGAATTTTGTGTTTAATTTCGAATATTTATTGTATGTATCTATCTAGTAGGTTTTAAATAAATCCGATGCTATAAAGTTATGAGCTGTCACTTAGTGTTAAAATGTTTGGACCAATCTTTGGATGTATTGAAACATAGTAAGTTTTTTTTTTTTTCAATATTTTTATTTTATAATAACAAAACAATAAAAAACAAATAACAACAAACAATAACAACAACATTGGGACGTTTATCGAAATAAATTATTTACAATTTGGACCTAGTTTCGGAGGTGGTCGATGACTGCCTACTCGTTCACTGGTCTCAGTGGCCTCCGAAGGACTCGTGTTCGCCGCCACCGAAACCGCCAGAGTGTTCAGAGAGTCCGCCTCCGAAGGAGTGGCCTCCGCCGCCGCCAGAAATGAAGGCGTGTCCGCCGCCGCCGCCTCCCACGGAAAGGGAGCCGCCGTGCTCGAGACCCTTGAAGCTAGAGTAAAGGACTGGGCTAACTTCGCCGCCGTCGTGACCGCCTCCCAAGGAGCCTCCTTGACTACCGACATCGTAGCTGGAGACCGAAGAAGAATAGGATCCGAGACCGCCGCCGCTGCCTCCACCGAGTTCATGTCCGTATCCGGAGGAGTGCTCGTCTCCGCCACCGCCGCCCTGGTAATAACCGCCGGTCTTTCCGTGGGCACCGGACGAGATGAAGCTGCCGCCGAAGAGACCAGTGTGTCCGCCGCCACCACCCTCCTTGGTAAGATCGAAAGTGGTGCCTTTGTTGGATCCAGCTCCGGCTCCGACGATGCTCACACCTCCGTGATGGTCGTGACTGACGGAAGCGCCTCCTCCTCCACCGCCTTGTCCTCCGTGTTCAAGACCGCCTCCATAAGAGAGACCGCCGCCGCCGCCTCCACCGATGGCGTAACCGCCGCCACCTCCACCGATGGAATAACCACCACCGCCGCCTCCTCCTCCCAACGAAAGACCACCCAGATGACCGCCTCCTAAAGAGAGACCGCCTCCGTGGCCACCTCCGAATCCTCCCAATCCACCGCCTAGTGATAAACCTTGGCTGGCTGCAAGAGGAAAAACACAATTAGCTACTTTCCAATCTTAAGAAATCCAAAAGATGAAATGAAAGCATTTGATCACTTTCATATTAGAAATTTTCATCTCGTTCATATTAACTTACCATAGGACGGATGCGATTTCGCTCCTAGGACCAAAGCACTCAGGACAACAAACTGCAAAAGAATAATTAACAAAATTAATTAATTGATCGAATATAGATTGATCTCGATAGATTTCTTACCTTGAGCATGTTTTTTGGTATTGGTTTTCCTTGCTGTTGCTTGGATGTGAGTGAGTGTGGTTCTGATGCTTCGACGATGGACGACGAGCACCTTTTATAGTCGCATCAAGAAGAAGAAATGTGGTAAAACGAGAGAGGAAGGTGGCGGTCGATCAGTGATAGCGAAAGTAAATAAAATGCTCCACTTAACGTTCTTTGAACCATTTCTATTGCCGAGAGAAAGACCAAACGCATGAAACGAAAAAAAAAACAGCAACAGATCAACGAAGATGTAGGAGAAGAAGAAACAGTAAAAAACAACAACAACAAGAACGGCGAATGCCAATGACTTTCCTGCACTACTCTCATTGTCAAGAACAAAAAGAACAGTTTCTCGCAGCAAACGACCAGAAGAAGACATTGACCACGATTGATCTTATTTTGCACGTATATCTTCATTTTTTTTTTTGCATACATTCGTTTCCTAAATGGAATGGATCATCAACCTCGATCAAAAATATTAATTACTTTCTAACTGTTGTAGCGACAGTTCCTTTCTTCTACTTCTTCATTGAGTTCAATCCTTAAATGAGTTCTAGTTATGTGCATCAAAAAAATATGTTTTTTTTTTACATAAATCCTCTCACTAATGAAACACTGGATTCGTGATTCAATTCCGTACATTTATTCTTTTACACGTATTCCCAAATCAACAAATCTGCTTATTTCCACGCGATAAACACATTAAAGAAAATAACTTTCTTCTCGAGACGTTTTTGTCTACTTGTTTCTTTGCAATCTGTCGCATTTGGGCATTTCGTAAATTTTGCCATCAATTTGTTAGACTTTCTCATCATACATAAACATTAATACTAAATTGAAAACTTTACTAAGTTATCATTTTTCATTAATTTCATAAATCTGTTATAGAATTGAGTGTTAAAACTTTTACATGTTGCTTCCTAAAAGAAATCAATTAAAAGTGAGGAAACCGACATTAATACTTTATTACTTCAATTTTGTAAGACAATTACTACCAAAAGGGATGAAACCACATCAATAATTTAATACACATTACATTCCCCAAATATCCAACTTCTGTATCCATTCTAGCAATTATAGTTTTCGAGAAAATCAATAAATTGTGAAAACACTATATTTTTCCGAGCGTTATTTTTTCATTACTTAACAGTAATCATTTTACATGTTTCTTCCTATAATTAAAGTTTATTTTCCTTTAAACATTTTGAATTAAATTCAATAATTCAACAAACTCACAATATACAATACACACTAATAATTTAGATTTATATAATTGAATGTTTAAGTATTGCAAGGACATAAATATTTAATAATAACAGTAAATAAACACTTTCGAGCAATTAAAGTTGCCTAAGTTCTAAATTGGAATGACGCAATAAGCTAGTTAATATATAATCAGGGGATATAGCTCAGTGGTAGAGCGTTCGCTTTGCATGTGAAAGGCCCCGGGTTCGATCCCCGGTATCTCCAAATTTTTTGCACGTTTCGGAATACGCTCGTAAGATTTTTGCATTCCTATCAAATTACCGCATAATTTCCTGCCGCACATGTAGCGATCAATCAATTTGCAAATTGCTTCATTACATACTATATACTTTTAAGTCGAGATATTGTGGCTGGAAATGAGTGCAATTCCAAGAGGAAATCGTGCGACCAATAACAACAATGTGTATATTATTTAATTGGATGAATAATTGCGACTTTCTACTGGGAACGTGCCGTGTCTCCGTTCACTTGAAATTGGATCACAATCACTAAATACGTCGTGATCGTACCTAAAATCTGTATGTAAAAAAACATCCTATTAGTTATAGTATCTACATATTAAAGAAGCAATAAATTAGAATTAATAAACGAAACTTGAAGTTTTCAAGTTAAAATTTGAAAGTTGATAGATAATTAATAACTTACGCCTGTTAACATTCTGGCGTTGATGGTGTATCCTGTGCAGAGATCAAACGATATTTCCTCGTGCTTCAATTGAAAACTATTGAATATCTAGAAAGTAATGATTGCAGCTATTAAATGTACTTCAAATAAATTTCTATGTAATTAATTAATTAATTGTTGTTTCTGCTGAATTACGTTGCTATAGTTATTGTATTAGTAATTAAAAGGAATATTATGGTTTCCAAGGAAACCGGTTTGCTAAGCTCATTTTTTCAATCGGGGATGTAGCTCAGTGGTAGAGCGTTCGCTTTGCATGTGAAAGGCCCCGGGTTCGATCCCCGGCATCTCCAATTCTTTTACCTTCCTGTTCTTGGCCATAAAAAGCAGTTGCGTTCCTCTCTTCCACTGAAAATTTCAATTTGATTGATATTAATTCCGTTTTTATTGTATGTATGATATTTTACTTCTTGAGATGTGAAGCTTGCCCCGACGACGACTGCAATCAGTTGCAGGATGCAGTAGAAGCACACGACGAGGGTGTACATGAATACTAGAAGGTTGAATTCGAAGTCGGTGATGAGGCCGCTGACGAGGAAGAAGGCTGTGGATATGAGCGTGACTAGGGATTGGGCAACTATGGCGAGTATCTGTTTTGAGAAGTATTTTACTACGATAGAATTCTGCTCGCGGATTTTCCTATACCAGATCGGATTGAAGCCGGTCCTGGAACAAAAAGAAAACGAAAATTAATTTGGATTATATTGCAGTATAAATAATTACGTTCTCATCATGTCGTTCGTCAGACAAATGCGATACTTCAGTTCGGTTTCGATAAGGAGGAATTGTACCACAACGAAAGAGTTCATCAGACACGGTAAGATGTACATGACGATGTGCGCCGGAGATTCGATATCGTCGAACGTGAAGATCTCCAGGAGAATGTAGACCACAAAGTAGAGGAACGTTGCGAGCATCGATATCTCGCTGATCCTCTTGAACCGGTCGTAATGGTTCTTCATGTCAACTCCAAGATCACGATCGAAACGCTCAAATCCATCCAGTATTTCGATTAACTAAAAAAAAATAACTAAATTTTGTAGACGAATTGAAGGATTTTTGGAAAATTTGCTTGCTTTCTTTCGATTCAAAATGTTGACGAAGTAGCAGAAGGTCATGCTGAGCGAGCTGACGTACGCTTCGAACGTGTCGGTGATCATGAGAATGTGATCGTAAACCTTGAAGCCTCCATCGGTGTATAAAGAAGCAACTGGAGATGAAATCAAGACTCCTAAGGAAAAACTTGTTGTCGCTATGGCAACGAAAGAGCACCAGATCAGGGAGGTCGTGGAACGCATTGGAGCCAATCCGAGCACCTGAGCGACGCCAATCAACGATGCGAACGAGTCCATATCTTAAGCAGTGATGACTCGTACTAACACTTATTCTTGTCTCCTCTTTTTTTTTATTGTTGTTGTCCATCCATTGCAACGGATTATTAAAACGATTTGTCAGTGCCAGAAATAATTGACAGTCGTATTTATTTGCGCTGCTCCATTTTTTTTTGTGTGCGTTCGCTTTCCACTTCTTCGTTTGTTATTCGATTCACCCGTCGCCATCGATCATATTTTTTGGTGGTGGCGGTGGTGGTGTGGAAATGCCGCGGACCGTTTTCCAAGTGCTGAGACCTCTCTTCGCGTGGACGAGATTCGTTGGACTATGCCCTTTCAATCTGGACGAGAAAGGGTACAAAGCTACCGCAACGAGTCTTGCCCTGAGCGTTCTTCTGCTCCTAATGTTCTCCGCCCTGAGCGTCGCCATCATCTTGAACAAGGACGTGGACAACGGCGAAGGCCTCATCACCAATCTGACGGAAATCCTGGAGCTGTACATCACCAGCATCAATATGGTCATCGGTATACTATTCAGCTGCATCTCACGGAACAAGGTCACTTTGTTACAAACTTTGTTATTATGTAACCATGACATTTGTTACACATGATTGTTTCAGACGCCATCATTAGTACTGAGGTTATTTAAACTGTTGTATGTTGCTAGGGACGCATAAAATCAAGTACTAATTGCAAAAAAATAGTGTAAGCGTGTATTTAAATATTGTTGTATAATGCTAAATGATTTAAAATTGGAGCTGTGGAAAGTGTTTTTAATGATAGAGATTGTTGAGTTTTAAGATCGCAGTACATCGACAAGAGCCTCAGTGCAGAAAGCGTCTTTATCCGTTTTAACTTCTTTCCCGAATACGTTGGCCCTTAGGGTGCCTTGTGGTAATCCTTTGTAAGCGAGACGATCGAAGTTTAACGGATAATTTTTCAACATATATTTACCCTGAAATTAGAAAAAAAAACTTTGCTATCTCTGCTACTTTTTGATCTTCCTATCAATTTACTTTCGGCATTGGGCATTGTCCTGTCGTGGAGAAACCAGCTTTCCTCTGGATATCGTACCAGAACTCGCCTAAGTAGATATTGGCCGCTTTGCAGCAATCCTTCCCTTTGAACTCGAACAGTTTCATGAATCCGGTCGCTCTTTCTACATACAATACGACTTTGTACTAAAGAAGGAAAAGAAAAACTGAATTAAATTGCTCTGATAATAATTTATCTTCACTTGAGTACCTTTATGTTATCACCGATTGGGACGTTTATTGAGAAATTGCAGCTCATGTGCGTGTCTTTGTGGATCTTCTTGAATTCGAACTTGTACGTAACAAAGGTGGATGTCGTGCCGTTGCACGGTCTGATGTATCTCAACCTGAATTCGGTTGCATCGCTTCTGGATACCTTTAACAGAAAAATTAACAATTAAAATGCTTTTAATCACCAAATTTTGACAATTACTACTTGAAGAGTAAACAATAAAATCCATACGACCGACAGCAGCATTGCGATTTGTAAATGAACGAATTTGATCTATGCAAAAGGATATATAGAATATCGAAATTAAAGCTTTCCGTATCATCATTGCATCGAGAACGCTATCTTGTTTATGATCAATATTATTAAAGTTAATCGCGAAACTAATTAAGAAGAAATTACGTGTAGAGTAAATATTTTTTTTAGTTGAATCAAATTTGTTACGTTTCTATGAAGATTTACGTTGGATGATAAATTTAAATGTCGGACATTGTTGAGAGCGGTGTAATCATTAACAGCGAGAGCGTTTCCAAGGTTACTGTTTAGATTTCGAATACATTAGCCAATCCGGAAGCAATACGTAATTGATGGTTTCCAATAGCAACATAAACATAATGATCAATGATCAATATTATTAAAGTTAATCGCGAAACTAATTAAGAAGAAATTACGCGTAGAGTAAATATTTTTTTTACTCGAATCAAATTTGTTACGTTTCTATGAAGATTTACGTTGGATGATAAATTTAAATGTCGGACATTGTTCAGAGCGGTGTAATCATTAACAGCGAGAGCGTTTCCAAGGTTACTGTTTAGATTTCGAATACATTAGCAAATCCGGAAGCAATACGTAATTGATGGTTTCCAATAGCAACATAAACATAATGATGATGCTCTGCATGAGTAGAATGAACTCGTTATTGATTCGTTGATGTTATTCTCAACAAATACTTACCATAACAACTTGTTTGTGGACAAACAAATCAATTCGTCGTGCAAATATTGTTGTAACATCATATTATATTTTTTTTTTATGTGTTTTGATGTTATGAAATACTTTCAGTTAATAAGATGAAATGAAAATTTGCAGATATTGAATGTGGTCTATGGCCTGAATCGGATGGACAATGAACTGCACCACGTTCTGCTCTCTGTGGACGTTAGAGGCTCGTACAAGAAA